CATTTCACGATCATGTGAATCACTTGTGACAAGACCTTCCCTTGGGCACCATTTGACCTTGACCTTGCCGTTTTACTTACTTTGAAAAAACTTTAACCTTTGCCATAACTTTTCAATGGTTTGTACTAGGGCATTTATTTTTCACAGGTCTATTCCTCGAGACAAGACCTTTCTTTGGGTACCAACATTTTTGATTTCTTGACCTTGAGTTTAACTTGCATTTGAGAAACTTTAACCTTCGCCATAAGCTGTCATACGGGGGAAATAGTGTTTCATAAACACATCTTGTTTCAAAAGAAAAAGTCAAAAACATTTCAAAATAAGTATGAAATATTTTTTTCTTTTTATGAAATGCTGTTACACTCACTTCATTTCTCGGACAATGGCGTCTATATCTTTCTTCAGCACAGACACACTAGATGAATCAGGGGTTTCTAGCTTTACACCAGTAGTTGTTTCAAGTTCTTGTTTCAAGTTCTTCAGCCATTCGATATCTGTCCTTTGCCTACATACAAGTAAGAAGAACAACTCAGTGTACACACGTTATCGCGTTTTAATTACATTGTATTAATAAATATAAATAAATTGTAAATAATCAAAAAGTTTTTGCCTAAAAAATTATTAATAAATAAACTTTGCATTATGTTGTGTGGATTTAATTCAATTTAAAAGAAAATGCAAGTTAGTATACTTTTATACATGCATATTGAAATTTACACCCTCACATATTAAAAGCTAGCCATACATCAAGTATATACTTCAAATGTCCTTTATTTATCTAATAGAAATAATCTTTGGATCACCATTTGGGTCTTAATTTCTTTTTAGATTGAACTGAACTGAATTTATTAATCTCTTCACATTTTACAATTGTATACAGAGATATAAATGTAAACAATGATGACAAATAAAAACAAATTTTAACATGCTTGAGTATGAGGATAGACAAATAGTACAATTATAGATATACAATGTAGATCTTTACTAATTCGGGGAGCACGTTTTAGTAATTTTTCTAATAAATGTACACAGTTTTCTTAAAAAGGATTGTTTTTCTGAATTCATTATTTCTCTGAATGTAATTGTATTTTTAAACCGTAATTGTTTTTTGCGATAAGCATTTATTTCTTTCGTGTATCACTGACGTACAGTTTAATATGTAATGGAATCCATCGCCTATTTATTGAATGAATGTCTAGATTTCAAAAATAGGTTTTCCTTTACTTTGGTAAAGAGCAGTACATTTAACTTAATGACGTGTAAATATCTAACATTTTTTGTCTTTTTTACGTTACTACTGAATCATTAGTTGAGCTTAATGATAATAAATTTTAAGAAGATTTCCTTTCTATAAATAATATGTATATTTCATTGATCCATTGAAGACTTTACAATCCTTGGCATTGTTATATTACTTACTGTATACAGTGTTCTTTGCTCTTCAGATGCTAAAACAACATATTTGTATAAAATTTTCATTTGCCCGTATATTTTGTATAATACTTGACAAAAAAAAAGGAAAATCTTTTGTCCAAAACACTGAAATAAAGCATAAATTAAATGTAAAAAATGTATCTTACTTTTTGCAAAGGCTGAAGATCTTTTTGAATGGAGTTTACAGCTCTTTCTCCTTTTTCATTATCCAACTTTTTTATTGCTCCTGTTAATTCCATTATAACACTGTCTAACTTTTCTAATGTAAGACCCTGAAAAATATTTACTCGTGTTAGCGTTTTACTGTTCACAAAATACCAGGCCTCCACGTTTTATGAAACGAATTCCTCGATCGATACTTCAATATTAATGTGTTCAAGCCATTGACTGTCTTCTACGAAAACCGGATAGGCTCATTACTTCAAAATTAAAAAAAATAATTCGGCATAACGAGTATCTCGTTATATTATTATAACGAGTAAGTTTTCTTGTATTAATAAGGAGATAATTAGACACGGGTAGTTATAACAAAATAACTTACTCATTATAACGAGATTCTAACTCGATCGTTATAACGAGACAATTAGCTTTTTATAATGAAATAATTATCTCGTTATAACGAGATAAATAACTCGTTATAATGAGATACTAACTCGTTACAACGATATACTATCCTGCTATCACGAGTTAAATATTTTTGATCTTCTCAAAAATGAGTCTATCCGGCTTTCGTCGTCTTCGGTGCCATCATCGGAGTTCAAAACGTGCATCTCAAAAGGTTGGGAATTTTTGTATATGATTAATATATTATTAATGTGTTGGTAAGCTTTGGACATTTCTAGACAGACTTCTTCAAAATTAACTTTGGTAATTTCGTATTCTTTTCCATTTCCAAGACAGAGTACTGATATCATTTTTCAGAGGAAATTAACAAAATGTTTTACCTTTTCATAAACAAGGAAAATATTTTTAAGAGCATCAAGGTGTTTGTCCAAGTTCTGAACCACGGCGTCATTGGGAAAATAAGTTACTAAACTTTTTCGGATTCGTAGAACAGGATCCTCCTCATGAGACATCTATCAAATATATGGAAATTAATAATTATTACATTGTGGATCCGGGATTTTTTTCCGGGGGAGAGGGGACTCTAACTCTAAGAAATGTCGAATTTTTTTTGACAAGCAATTAAAAAAATTTAAACAACTTAACTGCCTTCGCTAAAACCCTACTTCGTGAAAAGGGGGGGGGGGAGGGGTAAAACAAGTCACTGTTTTCCAATTTTCTTCCGATGCATGTCGCTTCTTGCTAGTTTACGAGGAGTCCGTGTTTCCCAGAGAGGTCCAAGGCCTTTTTTTTGTTACTTTACATAGAAATTTAATACCTCTGAAAAACCAAGGGGAGGGGGCCCGGCTCCCCTTCTTAATCTATTCATACAATGTAAAACCGTAGTTCTTATATCTTACATGGCCGTTGGAACCGGGGGAGGGGGGCGTGTCCCCCCCCCCCCCAATAATTTTGCCAATATATAGAATACTATAGAAAACATAGCTACTATATGCTTGTGCCCCCTCAATAATAACGTCTGATAATCTTTTTTTTTTTTGGCTTGTCAATGAATTTTGGTAGTTGATAGCCCCCCCCCCCCCCAAACTGAAAAAAACTGAAAATGTATGTTTTGCCCCCTCAAAGTGAAATTGCTTCCTACGGGCTTGTCTTTTCAAAAGTTCGTTGAAAATCAAGCAACTGAACTTTCCTCATAGAATTATTCGGTCTCAAAAACATAAAATACGTAAACATTAGAATTCATATCTAATGTCATATCTATCAAGAGATATGAAAAGAGATTCTTACAAATATCATTTCTTGATAAAATTTGGAAGGATTTTGGTAAATTTTATTCCACTTCCATGATGAAGTTTCTTTCCCCTTTTTTAATTTTTAGGTTTACAAGTTAATCCATTGAAATTGAAAGGATGCGTTATAATTCCTGCCCAGTATTAATACTGCGGTTATACATGTAAATACATGACAAATGTTTGTAGAGACCTCTAGGGTGCAAAAATCTGGAGACAGTTAAATCTCATGCTTGTGGCAATTGCAAAAACGAAAGTAAATTTTAAAATTTCATTTCTTTTCAATGATTAATTTCACATGAGTAATTATTTTAAAAGGAAACTTTTCTAGAGTTCTGCTTTTACTCTTTAAATTTAACTAGTTTATTTTATATAAGAAACTTACCGTTTTACGGAGCCTGCAAAATCAAAATATTTTTTGTGGTGACTACCTGTATTGCTCTCCCAGTAAGCTAGAAGCTAAAAATAAAATGCTCTTGGAAAATCCATCATCCGAAAAAATGAATTTATTCAAGAACAAATCCTTTCATTTCACTAAAAGCTCAAATTATCATTTTCTAAACAAAATGATTGCATCGTCGATTTTAAATTTTACCTTTTGTTTTACATCTACACAAGCATTTAGCTAATCAAAACAAAGTTAACCTTTGATATTTGAATTTTAAATATGCTAAGACAAAGGGCACCATTTACTTCTCATTTAAAGTTCAAATTATCAATGAATATAGTAGTTTGGGACCAGTCATTTTTTTTCTAGAATCCCTAATCCAGCTAGAAATTAAAAAATAAAATATCAAAGATCATCATTTGGAAATTCTATTTTTAGTTATGCTCTCGCATGATCGTATATTGCCTGAACTAAAAAATAAAAGCCCGTTTGAATCTTTTGAGGGGGTTAGGGATCATTTTTCAAAACCCCTTTAAAGGATAGGAAGGCTGTAGATCAAAGTAACATATACAAGCTTTCTCACATGTAACATAGAGATATTTTCATCTAAACTAAGTTCCCCAAGTATGAAACTGATACCAGCGTCTCGATATATTAATTTTTCACCCCAATAGAACTGCACCATTCGATTTTTTTTTCAATAAACTTTATTATGATCTTAATTTCCATTCAAAAACAAAATGCTACCTCACAATTTCGTTACAATTATAAGAAATATTAACAATGCAATTTTTAATACCAAAATGTTACACATATATACATATTGGACTGTATCGGCAGAATCGAGTACCAATGTAAAATGCCTGTTGTCCAATCCTGTATTAGTGAAACTTTATTGCAGCATAATAATAAAAGTAATATAATAACCAAAAAGAAATAAGAAAACCATGGGCCCAGAGGTGTAAAAAACTAAAAATAGAACGAGTAACGAAAGTTAAAGGATTAAAACAAAAATTACCAAACAGTGAAAAAATATACAGAGATTTTGAGCGATGCATGCATCGAGGTTCTGATAAACCTTGAATACATACATGTAGTGTTTTGGAATGACGGAGATACTAGTATTGAGATAGTAGGGCACTGACAGTTATACAAGATGTAATAAAATATAAATATACAACAATAAGCTATTAACCATATTCCAAAATAAAAAGGAATGTTAATTAAATTATTTGTCAGAACTTTTGTTGACTGATTTTGAATTATATTAACATCAAAATAAGTACACTATACTATATACATGTACTTACTCAAATTCATTAGAAAAAATGCATTTCATAGAAAAAAATCTAATAATAAGAAGTATTAGTGCTTTCACTGCAGAAGTAAACAAGTATACTGTAGTGCGGTGAGAAGGAGTTTCCTATATTTAAGCATCTTTTAGTTTCCCCTTCTTCTTCTTCTCTTCAACTGGTTCAGCGATTCCTTTCCTTAATAGGTTACCGCCTTTATTTAACAGTAATGCGGGCCACACAACATATTCAAGCTTGGTCCCTGATCTAGTGTAAAACTGAAATCGTTTTGTATTAAACTCTTGTCCCTCTGTTTCCTCGGGATAGTAAAAAACCAGGGGCGGATCCTGTATCACCATAAACCAACACACATCGATGCATTCGTCGATGAAAAAGTCGGCAGATTTTAACTGTTTAACACAGGAGGTACTTTTGCTCATGACTTCTTCTTTACATATCTAATTAACAAAGAATGTTGATTATACGTACTAGGTACATGTACTTTATGTTCTCTTTTCAGAATAAAATTGCGTTGATAAAAGATGAAGTTTAGTGATTTAATTCAGCATTAATGTTCACGGATGGTCTTAAATGTCGTATTCTACATTATCACACTTTTTGTTATTATGATAGAACGTAATACTTTAAAATGCTTTTCCTGAAACCTCTTTAAACATATCTGTACCTACTTTTTTAATGTTCCCTATATTTTTCTGTGACGCCAGTTTTCTGAGACTGTTGATTTCATGACTTAGTGCTGGAGTGATGTGCTAATAAAAACATAATCATTGTTAATTTATGTAAAATTAAACATGCAATCAAACATGAAACATCCATCAGTAAATTTAAAACAAAATACATGTACAAACAAACTACATGACAGTTTTTCGACAAAGAAGTGGTACATTACCTCTTCCTGAAGCATCAGCGCTTTTCTGGTGTTCTCGGCTAGGCTTCTGGACAGTGTAGAACAGGCATCATGACAATCCTATGGCAAAAAAAAGGAAAAAGATGATTATCTCAATCACTGAATATTAATTTGTTGGAATATAAAGCTATATTTTATCATTCTAAATGATACTGACAGTAATAATAAATAAAGCGTACTTTTAATTGAATATTAATACAGTGTATGTTGACGGTTTACAGAGAAAAATAGAGACATTTTAAGACGAACCTCTAATAAAGTCTTTAAACCCTCGATGGCCTTCTTTTCCTCTGCGGTTGTACCTTTGCTGTGGTGGATCATGAATTCCTCCAGTACATCAGTCCAACATGCATCATACAGTTCCCCAAACCTTTCCGCCAATTTGATTGGGCGGTTTGGATCACTTAGATCTGTGATTTGGGCGTTACCGTCTGTCATTTTAGCTCCCGCAATTTCGCTTATTCTGGAGGAAAAAGTTCAAAGAATTTAAACATACAGACACTTACTCAACGTCACAGGGGCCAGACACGCCATGTGCATAATACATGTACATTTGTAGTACCCACCCCTTTACGTCCATACTGACTAAAATCCTATATATACAGATGTTGGTGTTCTGCTGATTTAAGCTTTGACAATAAAGTTCATGCCTATAACTTCTGGTATCCTCTCCTTGTGCTCGTCTGCAGCTAGGTTCGAATATAATTATATGGTCTCCAAACTGACGGAGATATTTCGACGCATGCAGAACCATGGCATTCTTACATGAAAGTTGGTGGGTCAGTAGTGGCCAATCAACTACTCGATGGATCCCAGCTTCCAACACAGATCATCTACACGGTGCTATAGCCAATATTAAAGCTAAACACGACCCGTAAAAGGAATTTGTCCGCCATATTCTTTTATTCAGGCAGTATATCAGAGGGCCCCTATATACGCCGTTCACTTAGTCACTCACTGTTCAGTGTAATCACTTTTTACCGGTGTAAACGGACGTATGCTACATAGCTATTGTAAAACATTCGGAAGCGACAAAAGAAACTGCTCCTTCTACGGTAGGAAAAAAGATACCAAAGAAACTTACAACAGTTGCACAGGTCAGTGCAGTAAACACACAAATTTTAACACACATATACGTAAACTGCAATAAAATGTAAACAAAAGTAATATAAGGTAGCCAGCAGGAACACGTGTCGTTCATTCCACACAGGTACCTGTGACAAGAAAGCAGCCATGTGTAACGAATGCGAAGGTTATATCCAATGCTGATATCGGAGATCGTAAAATTAGTATGGCGTTTGCCTATTTTCGTGTCCTGTTCAGCTTTAAATACACATTTAGATAAATATGAAAAATATTCATATCTTCTCACCGCTCTTTTCCTTGCTCTCCCATATACATCCAGTCGTTGCAATAGCTTCCTTACCGATTGTGCATTGAACCTCAACAGGAAACTGCCAAACACCCTATCCCCCATCCGGGCAGTCTGTCAAGGGGTCTGCATATTTGAAGCTTTCCTTTTGTGCGATTCCTCGCGCCGCTCCTCCAGTGGTACAGTCAGCTTGATGCCGATTACATGTGGTGTCTTTGGTTGCCTAGAGATAGTTAGAATAATCTAACTGTGTCTCGGGACAAGCCCTCACCACAAGCCCGAGACACAGTTAGAATACGTCCCATATACCTGCAATGTAGCAAATCGGAGTGGATCCACTCCGAAATGATTTTGAAGAATACAAAAGGAGTTGCACTGAAAATAACCACCAAATTAATCATAACAAACCTTTTTGAGATGGTATATGTCTTTTATCCTAAAAAATAATCCATATAAATACGAAAAATCAACTCATTTTCTCAACGTTTTTTCCTCGCTTCAAATTTAACGCCATGTTGACATTCGGAACTCTCTAAATTGATTATAGAAAATGCACAGAGTACGAGTTATCGCCCGTGTTTATTTTGCTACATTGCCAATACACGGAACGAATTCTATCGTTAAACCGGGTCCGTAGGACAATATCATTTTAACGATAGAACGTTCTATCTAGCCTAGAGAGTAATGCGTTTGGCTTCAGGGTTGTTTCCACAATTTTTGGAAAAAATAACTTCCTGTCTATGGCCACTCCCGATCAAATCCAAGTCTTTCCCACTATCCAGCAACAGTATAGGATTTACTGAGCTTATAGCTGTGAACTTCCGAGTCCTGACGAACCGTATCAGTTTTTTCTTCACCTCTTTAATTGACCCTTTTCCTCCTCCTCTCCACTTTCAGTTTATTTGCCAAGTCACGCTGTACCTTGTTATTCCCCATTTTCACCTCCCCAAGTCAGTCAAGTTTGTACTTGATTTGCTTATAGAATCTGTGCCAACGTCCCTCTCTTCCAACAAAATATATATGCACCTTGGGTCCTAATTGTTGAAGATGGGGGTGAGGTGTGCTATTATTTTTACTCTCCTTTGGTCTTCATCTGTACGTCTCACTTCTATTGGACCAAATTTCACCTTTCCAAAAAGTGTTGCCTTTGCCCACTGCTAGAAGTGTGTCATGCACAAACATTGCTTTCCAATAATGTGTTCTCAACAATTTCTTAAGTGCAGCATGCTCTCTGCTTGATCTACTAATGCTGATGTCAACAATTTCCTTCCTCCACCTGACTTTGACATCTGCCGAACCCGTTGTGTCATGACTAGGCGACACTTTGGTACCTTGATATCCTCCACTAATGATAGCGGGAGCTGTAGATAAGACGATCTGCTCTATAATCCAACTGCTGTAGGTGTAAATCCAAACCGTCTCCAATATGCCGTTCTATAGCTTCGGCTGGTGTGGTAGTCAGTTGGTGAAGATGAAAAGGGGAATTTCACATGGCGCGTCTGATTCCTGTGGTACATGTACTGGAAGTCTTAGCAATTACAGAAAGTCTAAGCAATTTCTTATTCACATTTAAAAAAAAAACTCTACTGACGTCCAGCGATTACTTTTTGCTCTTCTAAAGCTGTAAATCAGCAACGTTTGTTATCATGTAAGTACCACTGTGATCATTATAATAGATCTTGTAAGATCATCATACCTTCTGACCCAGTAATTCTTCTCTTCATTCACATGTCCCAGTTTATGTCTCAGTTCTTCCATTTCTTTTCTCAATCTTTGCACTTCCTTTTTGGCCTCGCCTTTTAGTGTACCATATTTCCCAGTGTTTGTAGAATGCTCCGATTTGACTTCTTGTATTTCGACATTTTTCTTTAAGATCTCTCGCTTTAACCTTGATTAAAATACAAATGTGTTGTCTATTTGGAGAAGATCTCTTGTTCGATACATTCCTTTTCTTAAAACAGAAGAAAATTATGAAGAATGCTTTGAAAAAATGCGTTTATGAGTAAGTGATAAAGAATACTTACGCTTCACATTCTTTTTTTTCTTTTTCATTTTCTGCATCATAAGCTGCTAATTTAATTGCATACCTAAATAGTAGTAGAAATAAAAGTAACTAGAAACTCATTACTAGTAATGAGGAGGTCTTCCGTTATACTACTTCCTGTTTGCATGAACATGTCTTTTCCAACGTCGGTATAAGCCTAAAACTGATGTAGAAACAAAATAACTTAAAAAAAATACTTTTTGCTTCATTTCCTGTCACGACCGGAAGTAATGACGACAGACGATTTTTACAGGATGCAAATGAACTGATGACTGACTATAAGTCCTGAAGGTTTTAGACTTCAGTCTTTTACTCTTACCGAGCAATTGTGAGAAAACATTCTAATTTTGGGGACAGGAAAACACACGACCGGAAGTGAATTGAATAAAAATCTCTGAATTTTCTCATGACATTTGTAGTATCTACAGCATATGTAAAAAAAACATTTCAAATACTTATCTGTAAGTGACATTTATGAGAAAGCTAAACATCGAAATAACGTAGTTTATCTCTTTAAACCGGAAGTTTACAGTTTTTGTTTCCGGTGGAATCTAACATATTTCAAAACACGAAAGAGATGCAACAAAGTGATGCAAGTTTTAATTTTAGAAAGAAAAGTTGAAATTTTCGATTTTTTGATCACTTCCTGTGACGACCGGAAGTGACGGCTGACGCGTCTATCCCTATGTGTTTTGCCTACTCCTCAAGGTCTATTACTCCTATAAGTTTGGTGTCTTAATCTCATGCCGTTTCCGAGATCTCGCTGAGATAACTTTTCATTTTGAGGACAGGAAAAACACGCGACCGGAAGTGAATTTTACTAAGATTTTTGACGTTACTCTAGACATTTGCAGTCTGAATAACATATCTAAAAATCTTTTCAAATACTTTATCTATAAAAGATATTTAAGGGAAAGTAAAATACTCAAATTATATAGTTTTCCTCTTATAACCGGAAGTTGTCGTTTTTGTTTCCGGTGGGACTGACATATTTCGAAACTACACATGAGATGCAATAATGTGATGCAAAAAAAAATTCAAAAAAGAAAAGTTGAAATTTTCGATTTCTTTGATCACTTCCTGTGACGACCGGAAGTGACGGCTGACACGCTTAACCCAAATGGGCTCGCCTACTCCTCATGATCTATTACTCGTATAAGTTTGGTGTCTTAATCTCTTACCGTTTCTGAGATCTCACTCGGAAAAAATATTTTTGAAAAAAACGGAAATCGGACATATCTGACGACCGGAAGTGAATTTTGAAAAAATGAAAAAAACGCCTCGGGGTATTTTCATTCTCTATCAACCCTGAAAATTTCAGGAAAATCCATCCAGTCATCTCTGAGAAATCCTGCCGACAAAAAAAGGGGAAAATAATAATAATAACTAGACTCTTGTTGCCATGGCAACAAAAAAGTCTTCCGTTCTTCTAAATCTGTAAGAATTTGCTTTTTTCTGTGTAAAAAACATACATATCATATTTACTGTGAAAGAAAAAAATAACTGGAAAAAAAGTCCTTTCAGTACTTAAGGTACTTTGATTTTCATTATCAATCTTGTATAATGCATTTGGCACCTATAAGAGATATACGTAATATATCATTAGCAATTAAAAAAAAAAATTGTTTGCAATCATTTCTAAGACAAACAAACAGACGAACACCGTACTATCATAAACTTCACTGTATGTATGTTTTGGCATAATTGTGTATGGTGTTATAAAAAAATATAATGAATTAAGTTAGTATCACATTAACCTAAAGTATCTGAGTTTTGTAAAGTTATAATATCAAGATTTGACAGCAGACCTATAAGACAGATTATTCAATTACAGTAATTCTTCAGCAATCGAATGATTGATTATACGTATGTTGTTTAACGTCCCTCTCCAGAATTTTTCACTCACATGGAGACGCCACCACTCGCCGGTGGAGACTGCAAATTTTTGTCCCATACTTTGGCACTTATCGCAATTGAGCAGAGGGGAATCTTTTTTATGCCAGCACCTTCTGCAAAAAGGGACCTCGATTTATACGATCTCATCCAAAGGACCGGTCTCCACGTCCCACAATCGAAGTTCATAATACCGAGATATTTTATTTTTTATTTTATTCTATTTTTTCACAAGTTTGTTGCATCAGATTTACTTAAGATCATACTTCAAGATCATTTCGAACTCAGGCTACGTAATTGCAGTGCATACAGCGTCAAGTGATTTTGATTGACAGGTCAACACAGGTGCACTTCGTGTGATACTTTTTAAGCTGAAAAATATACAGGATGTGACCATGACTGACTATGAAATCAGAAAACATTTAATTAAGAATGGGTGTGACCGATATAGAACTAATTTTTGCTCTATGTAAATGGATAGGAGGATCGGGATTAAGAGGGAATCTCTCTCTCTCCCCCCTCTCTCTCTCAGACGTAAATTGAACATTTCATAATGACATCTACCATTATAGAATATGAAATTCTGTATACATGTAAATGGTAATTATATTCACATGTTACAGATTTAAATCTAAAACGAATATATAATTCAAATGCCTAGCTGCACGAACGTCTCCAAATATTAATCAAGACGGGGGTGGGGTGGGGGGGGGAGTCTTCAAAGGAATTAGATAGTTTTATGTTTAATGAATTATAAGGAAAAGTACGGACGTCAGTTGCATGTACATAATTATATATCATTGCATAAAATTGTGTTCATTCAGGTATACTTATCCCACATATCAACAGACCTGTGCAATTTTTTTTTCATGTTTTTTTTTTCTTCAAAAGAAACATATAGCGTACCATTATTTCACACAGAATCGCGTTTTCACATATTTTTTTTTCATGTGTCATAAATAATTTAATTTTTTATCAAATTTACATGTAATAACAAAATCTAATCTACAGATTGATTTTCTTTCTTTTAAGTGGCAGATATCAATTTATTTATAAAGGCTTTAAAACAGTACTGTATTACAATTTTCTATCGCTCAATTCCTTTTTGAGTGTATGTAATATTTTTTTTAATATCGAAAATAAAACTCGGAAATCGGGATAATTTCGCATTCAAATCATAGAGAATAATAAATCGTCTGCATTATAGAAGGCTTATAACTATCGTATTCTGAACTTACTATACGAGATAGATAAAACTGCATTCCTGTCCATCACTATAAATGTATACTCAGTGCTTATAATATATTTACTTGAATTAGGTACCTAGCATATATATTAATTTTTTTTTTTTTAGATATATTCATGTGTAAATAAATTAACTGTCAATACAGACTTACACTACACTGGCAACTTTAAACTATACATGCATTGGAAGTGGTAACCAACGTACTCTTATATTTAGAAGAGTGAATATGGAATGTCTAAATATTTTGATATGGAGAGTGTATATGTCTCTTACGTCATCGATACTATTTCCGCCTTTATCTCGAAAGTTCTATTCTCACTTACAAGTCAGAGTTATCTTTCTTTGCCCATTGTTTACACACTAGGTAAATAGGGAAAATGAGGGTACCGAAAATCTGCAAAATGTGGAATCTGATTTCAAAACAAATTATATATTTGATATTTGTAGAATAACCTCTGTTATACATAATAATATCTTGAAAAAATATTAAAAAACAAAAAAGTTGAAAATTGACCAAACACAAGTTCACTTCCGGTTCGGACAGGAAGTACCGGAAACACACGAAAACAACTTCGAAACAAAGAGAATGTCATGATCTAATACTCCTGTAAATTTCACATCTTTACCTCAAACCGTTTCCGAGAAAAATTCCGGACAAAAGTGCATTTAAAAAGTGGAAATTCGGCCGTAACTTCGGACCGGAAGTGAATTTTTCAAAAAACGGAATTTTATATAAACTTCATATATCAGCCTACTATCATGTGAAAAATTGTGAAAATCTATCCAACCATCTCTGAGTAATCGCGCTCACAAAATTTGGGAGGAATAATAATAATAATAATAATAATAATAAAAAGAAACAATACAATCACTATAAGTCTTCCGTTGTGAACGGAAGACTTAATAATAATAATAATAAACAGTACAATCACTATAAGGTCTTCCGTCTGGAACGGAAGACCTTAAAAATACGTAATATTCACTCGGAGCTCCTCGGGTGGCTCGTAGCGTAGCGATTGCGTAATAAGAGTAGAAATGAAAGTAAAATACGTAATAGTAGTAGAAATGAAAGTAAAAATACGTAATAGTAGTCCAGGAATGAAAGTAAAAATACGTTAAGAAAAATGTAAAGAAAAAAAAACATTTTACAAGTTTTCAAATTGAATAAAAAATACTTTGTGATAAAGAAAATGAGTTCTAATAAGCAAAGAGCTTGGATTAAAAACAAGAATGGTTTATATCGTTTGTTTCATATATTTTTTAAATAGATATTTATTTATTCCTTTCATAAGCTATATATGAACAAGATGCCATCAATTTAAAATGTTCATTTGCTTTCTTGTAAATGTCTATGAAGTATCTTATTATACACATGCATGCAGCCTTTTTTGAGGACCTCGGAAGATGTGAAATGTGACCAGCTGTCAAGGTTACCTTTTGTTTTCTTCCTCAAGTTGTCTTATTTCCTTTTCGAATATTTCAGACAACACCTTGATATCATACTGAATAGATTGTGGTTCCGATGCCTTGCCTTGAAATTTATTCTGCAAAGCTCTCTGCATATTTGATCTGATTTCCTGTAACCACGTGACAGGCACATGTGTAATTTTCTCATTTTGTTCAGTCTCACTGGAAAATCAGCAATTATTTATTCAATTGAATGTTGTCATAATACAATTTCCTTGTTTAAAACTTATGAAAAAAGTCCCAAAATAAAATTGACAATAATCATACTTTTTCGCTGTTCTTCCTGATATACTGTGAACTGCATCGTGTTCCTTTGAAAGAAAAAAAATGATTGTATTTCTTTTATTCAAAGTTATTTTATTTATTTAGTCTCATATTTGCAAAATAAATCGTTATCGATTCACTTCAAGCTCGTTTTTGGTGGTTCATTTTTATTTTCTTGAAGACATGTCGAACACTCGATGGCATTACATGGGTACATTCAACAGGTCTGGTGGTGTTTTATCTAGGTGTATTTAGCATGTTTAGTGTAGGTTACACCTGGATCTAATATCAGTTTTAAAACGCTATGTATTGTACCCCTACCTTTACTGCAATCTTCGATTTATCGGTTTCTTTGTTCGAGATGGCACCTTGCTTCTTAAGTTCTGTTGTTTTTATTTTCTCCTCATGACAAGACATATTTGGAGTATGTATTTATCATTCAATTATCACTTCCTTTATTCATAGACGTATAAATATACATGCATGTTCATCAATCTTCCTTGTTTAACCCCACAAAACGAAAGTACAATGCATGAAAACGGTTACAATATGGTATGGTGGTTTACCAGCGGATAAACTTGTTAGAAAAGTTGTGATACAAATCTAATTGAAGTACTGAATAACTTTCCGGACCCCCCACCCCACGCGTTAGATCCGCGCATTGATCTTCCTATCACGGAGCGAGAGCAAATGTTCTTTCCTGAATGATTGATCAGATGTATATTTCTAGACGGCACGTCCATCAACACTTGTAAATTAAGCAAAGGTGGTACGACATAAAGGAAGGTACACTACTGGGCATGATTCGGATGGTGGATGTTGCATTTACTTTCTGGACGAGTGAATAGATAAGATTTTTGTGCATTTTCAAGTACAGTACCTACAGCCCCACTGTTGAACAAATTAGCATTTTTGATGTTTTGGATGCTGAATGTGACCTACATTTTCAATATGAATGATCAAAATAAAACACTGAAACAGCAGAATACATCATCATCAAATGATCAACCATGCATAAATGATACTGCTTATGGATGCTTAAGATGCAACTATCAACCGAATTATTCCGAAGTTATTATAAATACTACATTTGTTCTGCTCCATGTGTCCTTTTCTCTCCAGAAGAGTTGAATGATACACATATTTATTTTTTAATATTTTAGGAGTTTGATATATGCATCATCTGCAACCAAAATAATTCCAAAAATAAATTTCAATCCATGCATCCAATATTTGTTTGTTTGTAGCAAGTGTCCAAGTCAAACACCTAGGGGTATGGTATGAAATGAATCCAACAAACACAAAGAAAGGTGAATTTTTTTTAAACTTTATTTTTGTGCAGTTCATTCAATTGTCAGGAACCACTGTGGTCTTCTCTGATACATAAATTCCGTCCAGGAATTTTCTGATATCCTTGTTCTTGACAGTTGTTGACTGCTGAATCAAAGCAGCTGAAACAAAGTAAAATATACATTACACAAGGTATTTTATTTGTGATAAGTATATCATTAACTTTACAAAATGGTCTCACTATAAGAATATATTCATGAACAAAATGGAGACAAATGTACTAGATGAGAATTTTGTTTCCTCATTGCTACTTCTTGATAACTATTCAGAATTCAAATCAGATTCAAATACTTTTTTCTTCAAAATGTTCACATTACACTTTAAATGAAACCCCCTCCATAATCATTTCAAACAACAAGCCCATGGTCCACAATTTGCACTTGATTGACCTTGAATCTGATGGTCATATGAAGAAAATTATGAAAAGATTGTTTTGGATCCACTACATGAAAAATTTTGACACCATATTGTGAATTCATCCCATCCCACAGGAGTATAATATTACCACACTTGAATACACAAAACATGGAGAGCTTGAATATCAATATGTGACCAACATAGATTTACAGTTCTAGAGAAGATATTTTTTAAATAATTTAATTTCCTATTAAGGCATGACAAAAATATGTTTGTTTGCGGTTACATGCTGAAATAAAATAGGGTCGGTAGCACAGGCACTTGTTTCGTATACGGGGCACCCCTACTTATTTTTACCACAAGGTACCTAACTCAATTTCAGGCACCCCCGCTTCAAACTCGTATTTTGTTTATATATTAATCATTAACCTACTTTAAAATGACATCGTTCGCTTCGAAAGACTTTTTTCTTGTCAAATTAATCGTTTCGGACGTCTCTGATCGAGCCTCTTTATTGTAAACCACTTATTTCTTCCTCAAAAATTATCTCGATACAAAATAAGACTACGGATCGGATACATTAACTTCCGGTTGGGTTATAAACGAAGGATAAAACCAGAGAAAGGAATTCTCGTAAGTCTCTGGATTTATCCTACATTTATAACCCAACCGGAAGTTAATGTATCCGATCCGTAGTCTTATTTTGTATCGAGATAATTTTTGAGGAAGAAATGAGTGGTTTACAAAAAAGAGGCTTGACCAGAGACGTCCGAAACGATTAATTTGACAAGAAAAAAGTCTTTCGAAGCGAACGATGTCATTTTAAAGTAGGTTAATGATTAATATATAAACAAAATACGAGTTTGAAGCGGGGGTGCCTGAAATTGAGTTAGGTACCTTGTGGTAAAAATAAGTAGGGGTGCCCCGTATACGAAACAAGTGCCTGTGGTCGGTATGTAGTATTTTTTTTTAAAAATTTTATTGAATTTTTTTTTTTACAAAAATTTACATGAGTTTTACCATTGTGTGGTGCTTTACTTTTGTTTGGGCTTGTCATATGGACGATAGACACAAACACGTTAATTTAAACATGCCATTTTGTTTCTGGTACATGTACTTTCGATTTCAAACACTTGACCAATTTCATGACTAAAAAAAATTTGAGTCGGCGATTGAATATAGGGTCGGTCGGGTAACCGTAAACAAACATATTTTTTTATTACACCTAATAGGGATGGGTATCGGCAAAAATTCCGTATCATGACATATCACGATTTTCCCCCAAAAATATCACGATAAATCGTGATATTTTTACACACAACTTTTACTACAATTTCAAATGAATTTCCATGATATTTCTTAAAAATATGCTATAAAAGCATAATTTTACTTTTTAAAATTTTTATTTAATATAAAGCATGTTTGGATGCCGTTGTTTAACTGTTTTCAACATTTTTTACACTTCCTGTAATTGTCATTCAATAGTTTCAACAAATATATGAATAATTTCTGGAATTTATAATTATGTACCAAATACCGGTGTTTTAGTCTCCGTATCATGATACGTATCACTCAATAAAAAATCGCGATATACCGGTACACCGATAAAATCGCGCATCCCTAACGCCTAACATATTTAAAAAGGTTTTTCCCTTGGTATAAATTACCAGGTAAAAATTTGATTCCCTATCCTTCCCTTTCACACACTGCTGCCCTTAAGAAAAATGCTAATTTTTTTTCCTATATATCCACCTGAAAATGTCTTATTCCCTGTCTGGTCCCACCCTACCCTCAAGGGCCATGATTTAAACAAATTTAAATCTATATGTACACTGTATAAGGAATCTTTTCCATATGTTTTATCTGTTCTCGAGAACTAAATCTTTAAAAGACCCAACCCTATTTTCGCTTTTCTTGATTATCTCCCCTTGACATGGCCCTTCATATGAACAAACTTGAATCCCCTTCACCCAATTATACATTTGCTAGGTTTGATTGAAATGGCCCCGTGGTTCTACAGAAAGTGAAACTTTTACAAGGTCAGCAACAACCATGCTGCCAGACAACAGGCAAAATCTCACTTGTCATGAGCCTTTTGCTCAAGTAAGCTAAACAGCAAAATCTTGACAATGCATTTATTCCTTTTGTCACTTTATTTATAGGTAAAAAAAGTTCAACTGAACCATATTCCACAACAAATTAAGGACTTCCAAATATAATATGTGTTATCAGGATTAAAATATACCCTTAACAAGGGCAGTCTGATGAGGAAATCTTTTTTGGGGGGCAGGGGGAAAAAAAAAATTTTGCATACAAACCTGAATTAGATACAGCCTCTATGTCATTGCCCTCTAAGATAAACTCATCTTTTTGAGTGGAGGCCTTGATAGATACTCCTGTTAACATATCTACCCTGCGCACAAATTTCTCCCCCAAGAAATTCCTGATCTCTACTGCATGGCCACCTTCTTGAACTGCACAGTTGATGGGGAAATGGGCATACACTGACCTCATTTTGTAAAGAAAGCCCTACAATGACAAGGAACAGCAATTTGAATTTTGACAAACAAACAAAAAATAATTTCTTCAAAAATGTGTCCATTTGCAGAACATTTTAGAGCAAGATGTATGTGCATCTATATTTTTTATAACAATTACATCGCACTTTCATCCTTTCATTTTATTAAAAATGAAATTTATTGGTAAATCTGTATGCTTATACAAAACCAATACTAAAAACCAAGTATTTTTCTCTAAGAACCAGGCAGTGATTTATTTTGTTTTTTAATCCACCACCCCCTCCTTTTGAATTGGGAAAAATTAGCGACATTTTCCTCAAATTGGGAAAAATCATTTATAGTAAATTAGAATGCTAAAAAATACATAAAATAATCAAACTAAGTAACAACAACAGTTTTTGTTTGATTTTAACTTTGAATTTGATTTAAATTCAGAAAATAATCATTTAAAAAAAATTTACATGAATATTTTATTGAATGTGAACATGGCTTATATTAGTCACACCTTGTAGCTTCTACAGTATTTTCTTGGAATTTCTTTAAAATTAAATTAAAGTCGAATTTCATAAAAAAAAAAAAAAAAGACCAGCATTTAGACTCATAATCTACATAGTAAACTGTCTTATATCGATAATCAAGTTTACATTTTTACCAATTTTAGTGAAACCCTATGTGTTGTCCATTTCCTGATATTAGCCTGACCCTCTAAGTAATAATGGCGGTCAAACCAAAATCATTATGTCAACATGCAGCATGACTTTTATCTGGGAACTACTTACCAATTCATTTCGGATATTATAAGCTACTTATCTGTTTATGTGGATATATGCATTGTCTTACACATTCATTAAAAATCGGCTGCATGTGCATGGATTTGGAGAATAAAATTGAAGAATAAAAACGTATTTACTTGTCAGCAAATTTAGTGACTTTTGTTCAAAATTCAAACATAATTTCGTATGTTTGAAATTGGGAAAAATAAACTAATAATTGGGAAAAAATAGCTAATTTTTGTGAGGGGAAACAGCTGAATATCAGTGGCATTTTGACCCAAAAAAAATCACTGCCAGGTTCCGGCCAAATTGACCACTTCATTTGATAAAAATGTCGCTTTGAGATAAATTAATTGTTGTGAGGTCCCAGGGGTCTAGAATTTTTTTTAAAAATTTTTTAAAAGCTACTTGCCCACTTAAAAGCAATCACTATTTGTCCTTGTTTATCAATTTGTTAAAATATCTATTGATTTCATCACATATGTTTCTGTTTTTAAAGCGATTTCATAATTTTGAGATCTTTCTGGATAGGTTTCGATAGTACTGTATATACTCACCTATAAGTCTAAAAGTTGGTCTGTGTTCAAGTCAGTTGTATTTTTAAAAATTAATTTTAAAGAATTAGCCACTGATCCGCTTATAAGTCAGTGCAACTTTTTGCTAGAAACTGTAAACAATTTTTGATTATAATCTATTATGTTTACCAAAGTTTCAAAGTATATTTTAGGGTAAGACATCGATATTTTATCTTTTATTAACAATTTAAAAAAAAATTATCATTTAAATCCCTAAGTACTTGTGTTTTGTGCATGTGGTAACATTTGATCTTCAATTACCTGCATTACATTAAGTTCCGATCTTTACAATTATCGGTGGAGTTGTTACAATATTAGTATATTTCCTCTCTCAGAAAAATTCCAAATTTTCTAGGACTCACCTATAAGTTGGACCTAGACTTTTGGTTCAAAACTCAACTCCCAGAAATTTGACTTATAGGTGAGTATAAAATGTATATATGGTATACAAGCAACTGTACTACCGATGAGTCTCGTAGATTAAAAAAACACAATGTATCAGCCTTGCACAGATTCTGATAGTTGGATGTTTGTTCTTGATTTATTTTAACATACTTGAAAAGTTTTGCTGGCTCAGTCTGAAATTTATTACTTTCTTGTTCAGGTAAGTTTATCATGAAAAACTATCTTTCCCGACATGACATTTCACTTTCCCCAGGCAACGGGAAAGCATAATTCTAGATTCCTGTGTCCACAGAGATTTATCATAAACTTCAACCCAAAGCCTGTTTCAATTGATCTCTAACCCTTTACTTTGAAATAAAGGGAACACACTGAAGACTAATTATGCACCTTAGTGACTCCCTTGATCATGTTTTCAATGTGACTGCACACAGTTCTGACTGCAGCCAACTCCTTGTGTTTGCCAAACCATTTCTCTACCAGAACAGTGTTCTTGCTAACCATGGAGATGTCTACAGCCAAGTGACGGAAGGTCTTGGTTAGAGTTCCCCGTGGTCCTTTAATGATCACTTTTCTGGCCTTCACACTGCATGTCACTAGATAAAAATATCAAATATTACGTTTAAATCTCATTTGGATATTCAAATAATTCAATAATCAATTCAATAATAATAGTTGAGATAATGGTGTCATCTGAAGTATTTTTACATTGTCAGGTTGATAAAACGGAAGCAACGAGTCATACCTCCCTTAGGGATCTTCACACTCTGACTGGTGTGCAATTCCTTCATGTCTGCAAGAAGTAAATGAACAATAAGTCAAACTTACGATTTCTTAAGCTACATGAATATAAATCTGATCATTCTGTAGCTTGTACTATGAACAAATTCTACAAAATCAGACTTTGATACAATCCATTTCTTTCTTTTTCGTAATTCAATATTGTCCAACACCAATGAAAACAGGAACCTATGTACTAAAACATTTATTTTTAGTAATTGGGCAATAAGTGGCACTCGCAGCAAATTTTCTTGCAATCACAAAAAGTTTTTACTTATTTGATAAAAAAAAAAAGAAAAAAAAACTATTTTACTATGAAATCAAAATTTCGTCCTTCTGACATCCAAGATCTTGCAAATTGGTAAGTACTACAATTAATTACCATGATTTATAAGAAAAAACTGTCTACAGAACAAATCGAATCAATAATTGAATAGGATTGTTTTCATACTTCAAATGTAAATGATTGGTTACTATTGCTTCAGTTGTTAAACAATACGGTTATACCTTAAACAGGTTGGGACCAATCGCCAAAATGGGATATAATATCCCAAATGGGATATAAATTTACACTGCAAAAAAATGAAATTTTTTTTTTGCTTTAAGGGGGACCGACCCTCTGATAAGAGAGATAACTTTCCAAGTAAAATATCCTAGTATTACTCATATTTTATTTTATCAGAGTTTAATTATCAAGACCTTTGAGCAGTCAATTCGATCAAACTTGACATATGATGGAAACATTACCTTATATTTCCTTTGATTGTACTTTTCAAATTGTTTTATTATGTTTGACAAAAAAACATTTCAATCCAGTTTTAAAACCCTTTAAAATTGAATAAGTTCTATCGTTTTAACGTTCATTTTAAAAATGGTTTAATGTATCAAGCACCAAATGTAGAATTTTTATTAGTATTACATTTTTTTCCCAATGAAAACATATTTCTAAAAAAGATAACTCTTGCTAACAGATGTATTGTTTTCTTACAACCACACATAACATTATGACATTCTGACATAGGAAGCAGCGCTTCATTATGATTTCTAATATGAATTTAGTAGGTATGACACTAAATATTATTTTCATATACACCGCATCTTTCTAATTTTATGTTGTGATAATAAATTATTACTCTTCCTAATCTCTGTGTTAAAATTTCTTCATATTATGATCTGACATAAAAATCATTTCTGAAAAAATAAGCAGTGCTTCATACCTCATACTATTTTTCATTTGATTTTGATGCTATAGCTCTTGATGAAAATCAATATTGGGAAGTTTAAAAAAATTTTGTGAAATTTGGAGCAGAGGGTCATTAGTCCTTAAATATCATAAATCCGCATCAACATACTTGCAGAGGAATAACTTTTGGTTTACAAGTTTTTCTGTATGCCGACTGTTTATGAGATTGATCCCTCGGAAGTTCCTAAACTTCTTGGGGATCAATCTAACAAACTGTAGGGCTGCAGAAAAACTTGTATGCCAAAAGTTATTCCTTTTAAAGAATTCTGATGCGGATTTATGATATTTATATCCAAAATGAAAATTTTCATTTTTTGCACTATGAATTAATATCCTATTTGGGATATTATATCCCAAACGGGCTATTATATCCCATTTAGGCGATTGGTCCCAACCTGTTAAAAGGCAAAACAGTGGACCTGGCTATTTAATATCCATAATTATGTTAAAATTTTAAATGTATTCTTCTTATGGAACAGGACATGCAAAGACTATACACATCACTTCAACACAGAGAATATTTTACGATGTGAACATAATTCTGAAAGGTTCAGTGAAAATCATTCCGAAACCCTGAGAAAAATTTGACGATATTACTCATTTCGAAACCAATTTCCTTAGAGATCACCAAATTTAAACGTTCAAAATAACCATGGTACAGTTACAACATGTTAATTGTTGACAATAACATAACAAATGGTGATGTAAGTTTATTGATGCTGTAGATTTTTGTGGATTGAAGCGATGACACCGTTTCATGTCGTACCTATTTGGTTATGGTAACCGGAAAAGGACTATTATACAGTAGACCGATCCCGATAATAAATTTTCAAGAAAAGAAATCGTTGAATATGTACTGTAACTATAAATAACCATAATATTTAAATAATTTTGTTTTTTTTATCGACTATTCATAATAAAGAGGCATTTTTCTATATTGTATTTTTCTGACATTTTAATCTTATTCTATTTTTATAGTAAAAAATATATCGGACTCGATTTTCATTGAATTATACTTCCGGTAACAACACGTCAGCTGCACAGAACGATACAAAATCAAAAATAAGGTATTATGCCTGATATTCTTCTTTTTCTATATGTAAGACAATTACGTCTGCGTCAAGAAGATATTGATATAGACGTTAATTAGTGAAAATGGGATACTTAACAACTTTAAAGGATAAAAATTGCAGTGATATCTTTTATCACTTTTTGTTCGAAATTCCTCTGTCAAATAATACATTCATTTAGGGTATTCCAAATCACCCCGCATTATGATTTCGCATCATTCTCGGTAATTTACCTTATCATTGTACCTCGAACGACACATGCACACGTGTGACAACCAAACAGTCATTAAGAGCACAGGTACTTGGGTCTTGGTTTATAAATATGTATGTACCTTATTGATATGTAAAAAAGTAAAGGTATGCAGGCTCTGTAATGGCGTCTGCTCAACTCGCTTGTTTACATGGCTTGTTCTTTGAAAATAACGCTGCACCTACCGATTTTTATGCACCAGACGTCTCGGAACACTGATTACTTATTGTAAAAACCCTCACATCTTGCAAATAATTCCTAAAACATGAGTTTTAAACACATTTTCAAACTTTTCGTTAATGTGCCCGGAACTAAGTGCAAATACTAAAAACCGATTCAAAACGACAAATTCCGGCCATTCAGACACTTCAAAATTCTAGAGGCGTTCCGAGGAAACTAAAAATAGTTCTGGGATAATTGAAGTTATATTTAAATTTCCCGGAACGCCTCTGGACTTTTGAAGTGTCTAAATGGCCGGAATTTGTCGTTTTGAATCGGTTTTTAGTATTTGCACTTAGTTCCGGGCACGGTAACGAAAAGTTTGAAAATGTGTTTAAAACTCATGTTTTAGGAATTATTTGCAAGATGTGAGGGTTTTTACAATAAGTAATCAGTGTTCCGAGACGTCCGGTGCATAAAAATCGGTAGGTGCAGCGTTATTTTCAAAGAACAAGCCATGTAAACAAGCGAGTTGAGCAGACGCCATTACAGAGCCTGCATACCTTTACTTTTTTTTACATATCAATAAGGTACGTACATATTTATAAACCAAGACCCAAGTACCTGTGATTAAGAGCATAGTTTATACTTATTACATGTATACCAACAGGTCCAGTACAATCAGTACATTTAGCTACCTAGCTAAAATTACCTACCGTAGCTATTTCCCTACCTCAGGTAGCTTTATTTAGCTATTTCAAGGCAGCTTTTCACAATTTTGCTTTTTATTTTAAAAAGACAAAAAGTCGCAAGTATATGTATACTAATATTTATTCTAGGAATTATTTAAACAACAATCTAAAGCAGAAATAGTTTTAACATGCTGCGTTTGAACACTTTTAAGGAAAATATGTATTTCCATTGTTTGAGTAACTGTACACCACCTTGTGTGCGATGAGGCATGGATAAGTATGATAACTTCACATTGTGCTCATGTTAACCAAAACTGGTTTTCTTTGTTATTTCACTCAAGAAGTAACTGTTAGGTCACAAATTAAAGCTGAACATGCTTCGTAAAAAGAATCTGTCCGTCATATTCGATTGGACTCTCGCTATATCTGAGGGCCCCTATATATAGAGCCGCTCACTTGGTCACTGTTCAGTGTAATCAATGGTCACTGGTGTAGATGGACGTATGCTATACAGCACTTGGTAGTGACAAAAATAACTGTGTGCTTCTTCTAATGCAGGAGAGTAAGATACCAAAGAGATTTACAACAGTTGCACAGGTCAGTGCAGTATACAAACAAACGCAAATATACGTAACTGCAATAAAATGTAAACAAAAGTAATGCAAGATAACCAGCACGAACACAGGTCGACATTCCACGCCGATACCCATGACAATAAAACAGTCAGGTGTAACGAATGCAAAGAGCATACCCTGGTGTTGATATCTTAGATAGTAATAACTAATATTGAAAATGGCGTATGTCTATTTACGAGTCATGTTCAGCTTTAACTGTTGTATATAGCCCCAAAACTTTAAGAACTTTGATTGCAATAGCGCAGAAAAAGACATCTCCAAGAGTGATTTTTTCATGAATTGTTTTCAGATGAGTTCAAAGTTGAAAATTATCACTGCATCAAAGTGCAATTTTCTGCACTTTCTGGGAAAAATGCTAATTTAAGAAATAAGTTTGATTTAGTAGCTAAATAAAGCTACTTCAGGTAGGTAAATAAAGATGTAGGTAATTCAAGCTACGTAGCTAAATCTAGTGATTGTACCAGACCTGACTAAAATAAAGAAGTAAACATAATGCGTTAATTAAAGAATTAATAATTTAATTCATTAACTTGCTAATCCTTTTTCGAAGAAAATGTCCATGTAGAAACTTTGCATGATATTTCTCATCGATGTCATGGCATTGTTGGTGGATGAAACATGGCATACTAGGTATTGATAGAACAGCAATTTTATATTAAAGCTTTCATGGGCATTGATTTTTTTGATAACACCTCAGATATATATTACTTATTAGTAAGTTATGGCCGCATTTGTAGCCCAGCACGGTTTGGGGTATTTTGAACTATGTGTGTACATTATCGCAGCCCAATAAATTGCACACACTGCACACTTGATATATGTCAGATATTTTTATAACATTACTCATTAGTTTTCTTAAATGCAAGGGTATGAAAGTAATGATTTGACAAAGCAAGAGCTAATAAAACTAGCCCTGGTACACACTTGATCAGTGTTGATCCTTTTATCATACAAATACGGACATGCATATGTACTACACATATATGTACAAGTATGCGTATGTGCAAGTTATGCAGTGATACATGTCATTCTTGATAATGGTGATATGTAATATCTAAATATGAATTGGTTTAAATCCTTTTCATTCATTTTTTTATTATCATCATCATCATTATCATTTTTTTTTAAGGGGGGGGGGGGGTCACTGCCTTCTCTAGATTTATGATTAGGTTTTACATTTTCAAAGTTAATTGTTTTGCATTGGAAAAAGAAATTCACATGGGTAAAAAAAATGACATAATTATAATTACAGAATTACAGTTTACTGTCATGTACATTGCTTTTGTGTTTGATCTGCTTCTGAGAACGCTGTTTTATAGTGCGGCTACAGAGGGTGGCTTCATTTACTTTAAAGTAAACAAGAACAATCAACAAGAAAATAATTTTTATTTTTGGAGCCTTTTGCTAAACAATACCAACTAATTCATTAATTATAATGTTGTTATCTGTCCGTTTTTAACCTTTTTACCTGGTGATTCGAAATACCTGGAAGTGACCTGCTAAGTTAATATCCATCACTTCAAATATGTTATTTTGATGTTTAATTAAGTTACTCATATAAATATAAACTAATTTTATAGATCCTCAAACACACAACAGGCATTTGAATTTAAAATAGTTCTATACTTGACACTAAATGGACTCAATCTTGAAGAAGATTTTTATACATCCCAAGAAGGGAAATATAAGAAAATTTATGTTACAAAATGTTCATTTTTCTGCTTTTACCTCTTGGCAGTATGTAACCCCAAATTCCAAATATTGACACTAATTATAAAAATGTAAATGTTTGTAGTCAAAATGTACTCATTTTATTTTTTCATTGAAAAATTAAAATCTAGAAATTATTATAATAATACACAAAGTATAACATAAACATGTCATTAATATATTTTGATATAATATGTATATATGAACTCTAAGGGACCAAAATTAAATTTTGAGATATCCGAGGATTTGAGATAATGGTAACAGGGGTAAAAAAGGCAAAGGAAACGTGGGTGGGACTGCCAAATCACTTCAACGTATACCAGGCATTCAAGATATATTGGTGTTGGAGACAACAAAGTTCAACTGCATTTATTTCACACAAAAAAGTGTTCTGTTTCTTGATTTATTTTTCTGTATATTAAAGCTGCCATCTCAAAATAATTACAAACCATTTGTTCCTAACATATTCTTTTACTACTTTGACAACTAAACTGTATACGTACAAGTCATGCACAAAGCACATTTGATTGAATTGTCTTGCCACCCAAAATTGCAGTATAAATAGGCCCAATTTTGGATGGACTCAATTTCAGGTCCAGGAGGGCTATTAACAAAGTTTTGGATATTTTCATGTGGAAATAATAAAAAAAATATGTAAGGAACACACAGATCTGCAGCTAACTGACAAATCTGTAAACTTTATTTTTGAATATGAATTGAACAAAAATTGAAAAGGGCAATCATTAATTTGTATGTATAGTAAAACTAATACATGTACACCATTTGTTTTTTGTCAGAATGTCTGGAGAGTTTGCAGGAAATGATGGCTTTTACAGTGGGGGATACAATTATGAACAGAACACAAATTATGACATGGGAGGTGGACAGTTTGGACAGGACACGTAAGCAAAATTATTTGTTTATTAAAACTTACAATTAGAGCTGTCATTGATAGAAATTATATCAATGTATCGTTGATTTCAGTTGATACGATATCAATACATTTTATGAGTAAATATACATTTCTTATTGCTATATATTTACATTTGCAAATGTTTTCTTTTATATAACACTGTTAAAAGCAATGTGTATCTATGTCCGCATAAACACGGGTTCCTCACATCACAAACGTTCGACGTAATTTGTCAGTGACATCATATAGGGTCGACGCGCAATCAATGGATCAAACCTGTGCCGTTGAGTTTTGAAAAATGAAACATTTGCATTTAAGATTATAATCAGGAAAATATAAATAAGTCACAAATGTAAGTAATAAGGTATCATTTTAAAACATCTATCGGGATATAAATACAGGTTTGTACAAGATCAAATTTACCATAAAGCTTTTCAGGCTTTATGGAATTTGATCTTGTGACCAACCTATATTTACATTCCGATAGATGTTTAAAAGTGATACCTTATTTCTTAAATAACATAACAGAATCTCATGAATTTTGTAATTGTACAGTTTTACATTTACTTTATAATGCTCATGGACCTCTTGTATTTATGTCAAATGGACCTCTTGTATTTATGTCAAGTCCATATATGACAGTCCAATAAATCAACTAAACTCTTTTTAAATTTTCTCTTTCATCTAATGTAAATTACCCGGAACATGGTATTGTTTGTATGAAATTTTTTAACATTTCATAATGGACTTGAATTTGTGGGTCTTTTCATACTACAAAAAAGCAATGAAAATAAACCTCTTAAAAAAATGATTTCACAGTATTTTTAATGAAAAAGATAAATTTTTGCATTTCTCACAATGTATGGTGTATGAAATTCCAGTGGTCTGCATCAGCAAATTAAGAGATATGTTTAAAAAAAAAGATCACAACAGTCCAACATCTCATCAACCTATCGCAATTGTGAACCACTCAGAAAAATATTGGACGTTAAATTTTTAGTATACTGGAAACAATTTTAAAAGGTATAACAAAGGGCTATTTTTTCTGAACAATTAATATTTTGTTGTTCATTAAAGATTAGCTGACTAGTATCATGTCAAAGTGTTCTAAAGTTGAAGAATGCCAAAACAAGTCCACATGCAGTAATTGAAAGTAAATAATTGCAGGCAGTTTGGTCAGTTTGATTACAGTCAGGGATATGGTTCAGAGCAGCATTACTCAGCACCACAGTCCAATATGTATACAGGCTCCATCATGACCCCTGACATGAGTGCTTCCTATGCCAATCCAAGTAATTCAGACAGCTATGAAGATGAACCCCCTCTGCTGGAAGGTGTGTGTTTGTAGGTTGTTCACTGTACACATGTAGCTTACAACAGTAATTTTATCCAAAGACTGCAAATTACAACTGTTAAGTGTTATTTAAAAATGATTTACATGTATTTCAAAATTTGGTGAAACCAAAGGGGACTATAGGTCTTCTTCTCATCTGTCCATCCGTTTGTCAATCTGTCTGTCCCTCTGACCCACTTGGTTTTCGGCAGTTTTTCGAAAACACATGCAGATATTGAGCTGATTTTTGGTATAAGTAACCAGAGTGAGTTACAGATCAAGTTTGCATTTTGTTTCACTTCAAGAATTTATGGCCTTTTTAATTTTTAAGGGGGGCCATATAACACTTGTTGGTAGGGGACTGGTATTGCTCATGCAGTACTCTCAGAATTCTTGTCATATGGGTGGATGATAATCTGCAATCTGACTGCATTACTGTTATGTTTCACCACATCATATTTCAGGAATGTTTTTAAGTTTTGTTTGAGTTATTCATGTGTAAATCATGCAGACTTGTCATGTAGGCATTGTTCGTGAAGCACACTGTATGATAAAGAAAAGATGAAACTTAGTGTAGAGTCAAGTTTGTTCAAATCATGACCCCTGGAGTAGGATAGGGCCACGGTGTGCCATTAAAGTTTTACAAATAGGAATATAGGAAAAATCTTTAAAAATCTTCTTCTCAAGAACAAACAAAGCCATGGTTAGAGAAATTTACATGGAAGCATCTTCAGGTAGATCCAAGTTTGTTAAAATCATAACCACAGGGGTGTCTGGGCAACAATGGGCGATCAAAGTTTTAGACAGGAATATATAGGAAAATTTTTAAAAAATCTTTTCAAGAACAGCAAAGGTATGGTTTGTCATATTTATCTAGAGACATCCTCAGGCAGTGTAGATTCAAGTCTATCTTAATCATCACCCCTGGGGTATAGAATGGTTCAACAATGTGCAATCAAAGCTTTACATAGGAACATGTAGGAAAAATCTTTAAATATCTACTTCTCAAGAAAAGTAAAGTCATGATTTGTCATATTTATATGGAAACATCCTCAGGTAATGTAGATTTAAGTTTATTCAAATCACAACTTTCAGGGTTGAATGGGACCACAATATAAGATCAATGTTTTACATTGAAATATATTGGGGGAAAAATCTGCTGATGAAGAACAGCAGGACCATATTGACTCAGTTGAGCTTTGTGGCCCATGGGCCTCTTGTTTTGGACTGTTTCACTTTCACATCTTTCAGTGCGATATATAGATTTCGATTTCAATGTAAATCTTTCATAATCCTTGTCCCAGCATTCAAAGCAATGCAAACATTAACTATAGCGAATTTATTAACTTAGTATCTTTTGAAAAACTTTTCATCTCTCCCCATTATCAGGTTACTGGAGTCACTCAGGTGACCTATTGCTACCTTGTGCCATGTGCATCATACATTAACATTTGAACATTTTCAGCTTCTTCTCTGGAACAGCTAATCCAATTTTGGTTTATACAGTCAATTCTTGATTAACTGCCATCTTTCGTAGTTTAGAAATCATGGCAGTATAACAAATTCGGTGATGAACTGAATTTTGCATCTTGGGGAACTGTTGATACCATAGACGTAAGAAATACACTGTAGAGTTAATTTTCTGATAGTAAAATATTTTAATATTCATATTTAATAATATTATAAAATCACTGAGAAAATTTATTAATATACTGAAAGAAAAAAGCCCATATCTAAATATAAAAGGATAGCATTTATTACCAAATGACATAATGATAGCCAAATAAAATTTTATGGAATATTTCATTCATAATTGTCATTAATCAAGGCATAACATCAAATTAAATGATACTGGTATTTAAGTACTGCAATTGTTGAATATAGGGAGTAGGGGACAGAATTTTAAATTTTGAAATTTGCAGGAAAAAACATTCTTGAAAAAATTATATGGTTTATTGCAAGAATGATGATGAATCTAATGGGGATAATTTGAGAATTGACTGTAGCATCTATGGGTAAAGGGGAACAAAATATGTGAATTTCATGGTCCCTGCCCCCTTGGTGACAAGAGGAGTGGGGCCAAAACTACCAAAATTAGTACAATCTTAAAAAATCTTATTCTTTATTCCTAGACATCAAGCAGTTTGCATGATTTTAATAAGCATCGAACCCTCTACCAGAGTGTGAAATTCATGGCCCCAGGGTTAGGGGTTCTATAGATCATATAGTGAAAAAAGCATAAAATCTTCAAAAATCCCCTTCTCTCCCCCTGTATATTTCACAGACAAACTAAGTGTATAGATATGATGAGCAAGAGTGCAGCCTCCTCCAAAATTATGAAATTATTGGTCCCTTGGTCAGGGTTCAGGTGTTAGGGCAGGGCTCTATTGGTCATATAGTGAAAGTGCATTAAATCTTTGCAAATCTTCTTTTCTCTCCTGGGTACATGTATTTGAGAACTTAGTGCATGGTTCTTATGAGCAGAGTGCTTTTTCCAAAATTATGAAATTCATGGCCCCTTTATCAGTGGTTTTAGAGTTAAGGCAGCTGGGCTCTATTGATGCATTAATTATCTACTTCTGTATATTGAGCAGATAAAGTGCATGCTTTGTTTGGAAAAATCTTCCAAAATTGTGAAATTTATGGCCCCTGGGTCAGGGGTTCTGGAGTTAGTGCAGGGCTCCATTAATCATATAGTGAAAATGCATTTAATTCTTTGAATCTCTGCTCCTGTGTTTTAAGCAGACAGATTAGTATATAGTTATGATAAGCAAGATTGCCTCTTCCAAAATTGAAGTTGTTTTCAATTCGTAACTTTCTTTTGTAGAACTTGGGATTAACTTTGATCACATTACACAGAAGGTAAGTGTTTTTTAGTATTACTGTTTTATAGTCAGGAATCAGGAAAGATAACTCTTGAATCCTTCTGCAATGTTCAGCTCGGTAGTGTTGACAAACTTGGCTGTAAATGTTGAAAGAAATATTTGTTACTAAGCATGTTACTTAGATGATTATATGCTTATTTTATACTTATACATGTATATGTGTACATATTTTAGCTTTTTAAAATATTGAAATAAGATCAAATTTCAATGCATCCCACAGTAAATTTTACAAAACATTTTGTCTGTTAGAAATTAATTTGAATAATAATCTGATGGGATTCTGATTTCATGAGCTGACCAAAAAAAAAAAAAAGAGAGGCTTCTTATGATGCCATTCCAGTGGCAAATTATGCAATAATTTTCTGTTTAAAACTATAATGAAACCACAACACTTGTACTTTAATACTAACTTACTACTGGGCTTGTGATGGAGGAACACAGTTATGTGTAAACTGTCATCATTTTTATTTCCAACAATTTGATTCCAGTTTTGAGCAGATTCCTTGAGAGAGACTTTATTATAAAATCATTTTTTTTGAAAATTTATCTTGAGGGAAAAATTAATATCAAGTTACACTTATTGGTTTTTGTTTGACTTCTCTGTATTTTTCTATTCAAAGATTTGTACAAGCTTAGAGTATGTAAAAAATTTAAATAATTGACAAATTCATGGTTAACAAAACTTGTATCCCTTTGCAAACATTTTGAGAAAAAAAAGAGCTGATTTTTACCACCTCTGCAAGTTTTTTTTTCAATTTAATTATAATTGATTTCACTAGGTGGTGCAACATGCATGTCTGTATGCGACAACTTCACATCTGCTTATTAAAAGTAATAAGGTCAGGTATTTTGTAGGTACATGTATAAGAGGCAAAAAAGGACAGAAATCAGGTGCGGATCCAGGAATTGAAGTTAGGGGGGCGCAAGGATTAGGCAGGGGGTCTGGGGGCTGCCTAGAGGCCCCCAGTGGGTCCAGGGCAAAGCCCTGGTGGGGGCCCAGGAAGCTCCTGGATTCTAGAGATTTTTTAGGGTAAAAATGAGGTCTACCGAGTAGACATTCTTACATTTTGTCGACGAAACTATGATTTATACTTATTTTGACAATTTTAGGGGGCGCACCGGGTGCGCCCTCCTTTTAAATCCACCACTGGAAATGTACAGAGATTTTCTCTGGTTTAACTTTATTTGTACCTCATATTGTACCGGCTAAGGGGAGCAACTCTGTCCACAATGTTAGAGGGTCAAAATCCATGAATATGTCAAACTTTCAATTACATCACACTTGATATTTTGCAAATTACAAAATTATCAAACAATTTAATGTGCTTCAATGAGCTTCCCATGGAATCTGCTTGATGATAGCTAGCGAGGGTCTGTAATGCTTTCAGCATGTATTATCACTTTTTGTGGGATTTACTTTACCAACTCATTTTCCACATGCAGAGATGATGATAAATGGATGTATTTGTCCCCTTTAAAATTACATTTACTGTAAAATCAATTTTCAACAAAGTTTAAATGCTCTACAGGTGCATTGCTTATAGGAGTTCTTTTTATCATTCAAAGTGGGGATAGATAAGCTTCTTTATTTAAAAAAAATCATATAGTTTTAATCAGTGTAATATACATGATGAAAAAAAAGAAATAAAAAGAAACAGGCTAGCATAAAACAAGCAAAATTTATTATTTGTTTGAAAATTGAGCATTCCTTGAAACTAATACATGTACATAGCACAAATATAAATGAAACAATGATATACAAAAAATGTGTTGAAACAAATAAACAAAAGCTCCTTTTGTACACAAGTCATATCTCATCTATGCCATGTTTAGTGTAAGCAAAAAAAAAGTGCTCATAGTTCTGATTACTTGATAAAGCAGGCAAAAACTGCTCAGGAAAAAAAAAATCTTTTGTCAAAATCTTCACATTTATCAGAACTTAATTGTAGCACTACATACAATAAAACTAGGCATGCATTAAAAAGCACTGAGTTACCATGTAATGCACGAAGTAAAAAAAAAAAAAGCTTCTAAAAAAATTTACCTTTGGAAAGATTGACGAGAACACTAATGTTTACAGATTTGTGTGAGATGTTTGTATGAAGGTCACAGAAAACTGGCAAATGAAAATTGGTCAATCTATCAAATTTCTTAATAAAAGCAAGGCCATCGTCAGCAACAGTCTTGATATGTAAATATCCACCCAAATGTTTAAAGATAAAACACATCCCAGTGTAATTAACTTGAAGAGATGCCAAGATGTAGTAATTTTTTGGTATTTCATTACACTTTATACAACTGCAAGTGTTTTTGTAGTACAGAGCCAGGAATTTTTGTACATGACTCTTCTTGAACAAGTTATTGACAACAAATACTCAAATGGAATGTATACATTTATAATGCACAGTCGTCTTAATAGTACTTGCCACTTAGTAATGAAGATTATGACAACCAGTGCAGATCCATCGTAAAAATAAATTCTATAACATTTTCTCCATTGCACTATTTAGAAATTTTCTTAAGTAACATAGTAAAAGAATACTTTGGTATATTATGAACTACATTTTGGCAGGTGAAAGGGGCAGACAACTCTCTACACTGCTGTCCCATAATCATCTACTGTTCCAGGTTTGGGTAGAGAGAGTTTTAGTTTTTGTTCACCATAGTCACTTGTTTGAGAGTTTTGTGATGTAAGAGACATATTATCCCTCGAGTGGAATAATCGGGGTGGCTTTTTAGGAGGTAATGAGTTTAAGTAGCCTGCAGAGACACTAGTCCTTTTGCTGGGCAGTGTGCCCGCTATGTGTCCATGAGGTGGCAGAGAATATGGGCCTGTATGTGACAAGGTGCTACAGGGGGTGTAAGATAAATAGGTATCATAAGAACTGTCAGAGTTCAGGTACCTAGAGTTCAATGTGCTGGCTTTGGGCATGTTGTAGAATGAGTGGGGAGTGGATTCAAACAGAGGATCATAAGAATCACTCCTAATGGGGGAGAAATTCTCCAGTAAAGGAGACGTAGATTCACAGTTTGAACTATCACTCTCTTTAGTTCTGTTAGTGTTTGTACTTGAGTAAAATTGGTCCTCTGTTTCATTATATCCTGTCTTGAATGAAACATATGTATTAATGCCATTTTGTTCTGCTACCTCCTCACTCTGTAAAGGTTCTTTCTCTTTAGGGTTCTCTTCAAGACTTGTCTCAAGTTTCAGATCACTTTTAGATTCCCTTATAGTAGACTCATTTAGAATTGTTGTCTTTAGATGCTCTTTAAAGGTCAAGCTTCGCTCCTCTTTCCTCAATCTTTTGCTACGTTTCACACGGACACATGCGTAAACAAGTAATCCCACAATGATACATACAAATATAAATCCACTGACCACTGACGCAATTATAATTATGGTCCTTTTGTCCAGACCATGGTCACTGCCCTGAGATTCAGATATAGCCAGAGGCTGGAGGGAGGAATCCTCAGTGGTGGTGGGTAGATTCTCTGGATCCACTCCTGGGATTAACAAAGAGTATGAGATGAATTTGGACCCCCTAGCATTTTCTAAAAGACACTTATAATCCCCAATGTCTGAATACTGAAAGTTCTTTATGCTTAGAGTACTTGTATAAGTTTCCTTCCCTGTAGTTTGAATGCTTATTTTTCCTTCAGTGGGTTCTATTTGTTCTTCATTTTTTAACCACAACGGCTGGATGAAAGGTTTGGAAAAATACTTGCAAAATAAATCTACATTTTCTCCAAGTTTAGTGTTTTTCTGATGTCCACTTGAGTACATGACAATTTGGCACACAAAATAACTTTGGTTCAGTTTGGAAAAGAATTTTTCATTTACCAGGGGAGGTCCCTGACACTTCGGCTCACCTTGGCTAAACTTCCATGATAAATTGAAATCTTTTTTACTTGTAGTCAGATAGGAATAAAGCCAGCCTATCTTGCAGTCACAATACCATGGATTATTGTACAATCGCCATGCTTTCATGCGGTGTGTCAGGTGCTGCACTACCCCCTCTGTTAAAGTTTTCAGAGCGTTATTTTGTAGATCCATAACTTGTAGAAAGTTTAAGCCTTTAAAGGCATCTGGCGCAATATTTTCTATGTAATTTCCATCTAAATTAAGTTCTTTTAGGGATTGAAGTTTCACAAATGCGTTGTCGTTGATGCTTGAGATCATATTTCCGCGTAAATTTAATAAATGTAAAGATGATAAATCACTGAATGCTCCGGATGGCACTATTTTGAGTTTATTTCTAGATAAATTCAAGTATTTAAGTCTCCTGAGTAGCTGAAAAGCATTATCTTTCACTTCAGTTATGGAGTTATTCTCTAAATTCAGGGAGTAAAGTTGATCATATTTGACAAATGCATTCTCCTCAATGATTCCAAGATTGTTGTGTTGTAAATCCAAGATGGCAATGTTATGCTGTAAGTCATAAGGAATGAACTTCAACCCTCTAGCACTGCAGTTGGCCATCATGTCTGCTCCATAGGTAACCTCACAATCATGTGCCATATTTAAGTTGACATTCATACCAATGATGAACAAGACTTTCAGGAAAAGAATCCTTTTGTTTTGGGAGCATCTCACCATCTTGTTCTGTTGGGTTTGTAATCCAATGAAATAATTAGTCAAAAACAAAGCAGCATTATTCCAAACTGATTGCCAGAAAAACTCCTAATTATTCAGAACTTCTTCAACAAGCTCTTGCTGTGACTTTCCCACACCCTATCCGATTTTCTTATGGCACATTATTTTGCACTTGCTGTTGATTCTCTCATCTAATCTTGTGAAGCATGATCAAATTCACATGTAAATGAAATCACCAAAAAAAAAAAGCTGTTGATAGATGCTGCAGCAACACACAGTAACAGATGCTAATCCCATTCACAACAGCACACTGGTGGACCGACACAATTAGCTTGAAATGAGTCAACTTAATTCCGATTCCAGTAAAGTGTGTCTTGTCTCTCTCTTCACATGGTCCAAGGAAGAATTGATCTGCAGATTATTTTGAATTCATCCAGTGATATCAGGGTGAACTCTAGTCATTGTCACCATGGGAATGTGTGCTATGGAATATAATGATCAATGATAGTTATATTATTCCAGTGTTCTGAAGAAATGCCTCTAGACTTCAATAGAATCCAGCTAGGAAAAATGAATAAAACAATGTTTTATTTCCTTTCACCAGAGTACATATGTTTTATTCTGGAATAGAAGTGTTAATTTTCCAGAAGACTTTGTTAATTTGATGCACAATTCTGGAGCTCTTCTTTGTGGTGAAGTCCTAAAAACAGAGATATATAAACATTGTATAGGGATAATCATCTTAAGCAACATCTGCAAGAGTGAAATGGAAGTTTATAATGGATCACAGGGAGAGAATCTTCAATTCTTGTGGGCAGACTTCAGTTCTATCACTAGTGTGTTTAGATTTCATCATTTCCAGATAAAAAAAAAATCGAATTATTTCTCAATTTCAGTTAATATGCATTGCTAAATTGATTGGTAGAGACACAGCTTCTTTTGATGTGTTTCCACTTTTGCTCATCTCTTGCTTAAATTGAATTTCGAGGGGAAGGAGGAGATACTTGTGCTACGGTTGGCAAGAGTAGGAAGATTTATTTTAAATTTTACAAAAAATAATATCACGTTTCTCAAAGCCTAACACCACCCAAAATTTTGTCAGGCTTTAAGTACATTTTTCTGACGTTAATGAGATAATACATAAACAGGTTCACAGCTGTACAGATTTGATACTCACAATAATTAATGCTAATCAGCGTCAGGTCTGCCTGTTCAAAGAGTGAAGTTAGTAGCTGTTGGTTCAATTCTTTCATCATCTTCTCCCTTTTTATTTCTCTGGAAAAAATGAAGATAACATATGACTTACTGATATCAAAAAACATCTTTAAGCATCTGCCGATATCCTCAAGAAAAGCTACTGAAAAATAAAACCTCACATAAAAAAATATATCTAGTACACAGTGTGTGCCTGTATATCCTGTAGTTTTCAGCCATCAAAATGAACTCTCCTTCAGACAAGATTTTTTAACCTTTGCATATAACTGCGCAAGTTTGATGTTTTACCTTAAACGAATTTGCATTTCCGTCTTAAAACACAAAGGTAGATGTTCAGCTGAAATTAAATGTCTGACTTGACAAGTATGTTTTATTAAGCTGGATTACATGTGCAATATTAGTCTAGACAGTGATTGCCCATTGTGACATTTCCTTACACTGTGTTTAAAACATGCAATGTTCAAATTTAATATTTCTATTCATCCCAAACCTGTTTGTCAGTCTTATCGGTAATCTAAGTCCTTTTAAATTGAGAGTGCTTTAATTAACATTTTGTGTAATACAGTCATTTTGAAACTCTTTGAATATATATGCATGATGGACTATATTATATATAAGGTTGCTTAGATTATAAACTTGAAGAAGAATTAAAATGTGTCTGTCTTATGATATATTAAATCCATAGAAATAGTAATATTTTTTGTAGATCGGATGAATTTCAGTATTAAGAATTATGTAGCATGAAGATAATATCTGACAGTTTTTCATTTGAGTTTTGTAATAATTAAAATCAAAACATAAGTATTCATATAATTTATTAAAGAATTTCCTTGAACAAGATTAATACCACCATAGATAAACAATTTAGAGACATGTACAGTGTACATGTATATTATACTGATGCATGTTTTATCAGACTTTTATCACACTATTTCAACACGAGGTAATTATAACTATACATAAGCTAAATTCTGCAGTGTCAGGGGATATATTAAAAATATATATATCTGCTGAGAGCATTTGCATTAAAAGAAATGAAAATATACTCACAGAGAAAAAAAAAGTGTATTCCCACACCATTACAACATTTCAAATCTTGTTACGTAACCCAGGTAGCTTTTTACCATTGGCTTTCGGTCAGACAGAGTATAAAGATATTGATAAGCTGTGCTTGTTTGATAACGCATGTTTACTTTGACATCATAGAGCGAGGCTCATTTGCATTTTGTGGGGGTCATTTGGGTGCAATTTGTCAGCATATACCACAGACGAAGAATTGGAAAAAATTACCTGTACTTCTCAGTATTGATCAAGGAAGAAAGCCAATCCTTTATTAAAAAATAAACTGTGTATTTTGCCTCCAAATTTTAGTTTTATTGAGTGTTACTGATTTAAGAATTGACAGTTTTAAATAAACTAGGGATGACAATTTACATTTGTTACCTTTTTTAAAAAAAAAAAAAAATCATAAATCACCAGAAATGATGCATCAATAATGTGAACCTTATGGATTTTAATGACAAGTTTTGATGAAATGTAAAGAAACATATCTATCTATATTGTATATAATCTCTCTCTTGTGTCAAATTGCACATAATGGTAAAAGTGGCATTGAAATTTCTTTTGTAAGTTTGAAGAATTGAATTTCTTTATTCTCCTTACCTGGTTTTGATAAGAATTAATCCATGTTAATTGATAACAGAATCCATGTTAATTGATAACAGAAATATTTCTTAAATCTTGAAACTTGGAGTTAAGCATTGATAGAGAAAGTTGGGAGATGTGTGTCTCCAGTGTAAGTAATTACGATATGATTTTATTAATCATAATCAGCTGGGTCAGTTAAGCCCCCAGGTAAAACCGTGATAGGTTCCTGTATAACTTGTACTCTGTGGTGCTTCAGGGACAAAATAGAACCCAAACTTACCTGATAAATTGTTTGTAGTAGATTTTTTCACACTTGGAGAAATGTTAGACAAATAACATCATTTGTACAAATGACCATTTTCATTAATTTTGCTCAGGGAATTTATTTCATCATGCCTCTTCCGTTTCTAATTTGCGTTTTCTAATTCTGGTGACATCATCTTTTTCCTCATTAGGAACACGGCAGTGGTTGTCACTAAACACTTTTATTCTTAGTGCTATATACTCATATAATTAATGAAACTTGTTAATGATTTCTTAAATGTTATAATGTTTTAGAAACTACTGATTAGACATTGTAAGTAAATTCTTATCACATGGCAGTATGAAATGTGAATATACATAATGTAGCTTAAGTTCTAATTATGCAAATGCACCTTTTCATACCTGCACAGGCCAAATGTCACATGTCGTAAGAGGCAATTGAAATGTTTAGTAAAGCACGTACCTATGTAATGATATCTGCGATTTACAAGAATGATAGTGTCAAACAACTCTGTTTCCAATGAACAACTCTTCTATCTTGATAAAGCAAGAAATATAAACCCTTTTGATGAATAGCAGCAATTGAATGCTATAAAGATTGTTAAAAGTGACTACTTAATATAATTATTATTAGGACTTTGAACTTTGAAGTTCTTGGTAGTTTAAACTTTTATTTGTATATCAAAGACAAAATATTTTTTCTTTGTTTGTATTTCTTTCTTCAGAAGTGTCAACCCTCGATTAAGAGGTGACACATAGATTTATTACAATATTCCACTAAGTTCCTTTTTCATTATACATATATGACACTAATTATTTTACATGACCAGTATCATACTTACCCTTGAATGACATTTTAACATCCAACACAAATCTCTAATGAAAAATCCAACTTTTGTCATGTCAGTGCACTGAACTTGAAAAACTTAAAGACCTCCATTCTTATGAATTTTAAATACTTAATTTCACTTTCATACTTCAATTGCTGCAGCCTATATTGCCAAAGGTTAGAATGCGATCACCTGTTATTTAGTCTCTTTCTATAAATTTAAAAACCTGCTTATTCACACCTACTTAGCAAGCTTCCGTGACAAATGGGAACACCTATTTCCATTTTCCCCCTAAATTTAGTCCAGAGTAGAGGTCCCTAGAGGGCCTTGTTCTAGTCCCACTATCTGATTGAGACAGACGGAAGAGCTCTTGTAGGTGTTTGGTAATTGATTTAGATAATCAATGGTTATGTCACACTAATTCAATATTATAACATGACAACTAAAAGTTTTCTTACCTCTAAGAACCATTTTAAACTGTATCTCTAATGGATAAAAGCAAGATGATAGCAGGCACACAGAATTTCCTAATAGACTGTTTTGAAAAATATGTAGATTATATGGATACTAAAATAAGAAGAAAGACAATTACCGGTATTTAAGAATCTGACCAATGAGTGTAAAATCTTCAGACATCATGTATAATTAACACATTCTCTTTGAGCCAATATTACAAGCTTGTTAAGGATTTATCTCTTATGTTTGGTTATGTGGTACACAACACATCTGTTCTTTTTGACTCCCCTTTTCACAAACTTGTGTCCTTCTGTATTCCAAAATCTGACCACCCATCTTGTACAATATTTTAAAGCTTACCTTCAGTTAAGTAATGGAAATAAGAGAGCTGCATTTAATAAGCCAGACATCTTTTGATATCCATGCACTCTTACATAATTGTAAAGGTACAACAATTTCAGCCATTAACACAGGTGAATAGTTTATATACGATTCCCTACTTTAATTTCTAGTGACTCTGAGTTTTAACACCCTCCTAATCCTGAAATGTTTTAGTGGGCCACAATCTTCAGAGAGAATTTAACACTTCAGTAACGGGGAAGGTTGCAACACAAACGTAAATGACATTGTTCAATTGTTGTTGGAGTCAACAAACTCCAGTTCACACCAAATGTAGACATTCTGGCCAAAAATCAAGGGCCATTATTGGGCAATAAAACAGTAGTTATAGCCAAAAGGGGACTCCTGTAATTCAATGAAGCAACTTTTTATAGGTTAAAATTAGAGACATCACTTTGCTGTCTCCATAGTTTTCATTTGTTAGTTGTGTGTTCTATTATTAGTCAAGAATTAACTTCTTGTTTTTTTTAATATCCATTGAATTCTCATCAAACTTACTCAAGTCACCATTCTTACATTTGTCACTACAATGTATTAAAACGGCGAGAGAGTAAGGTTTATATTGCGTTTTGATTGTTCAATGAGCAGAATTTGGCTAGCTGTTATACTTTAAAAGAGTCACACTTTTGACCCAGGATGCTCCCTCATATAAAACAAGATGTCTTGTAGTAATGAGTAACTACTGGGGAATGTACAAGTCTTGCAGCAAAAAGCTAAGATAGAATGAGAAAACATCTCTCTCTAGATGTTTGTCCATGTGATGAAACACCAAATTAGTTTGACATGACATCTATGCATCACATGGTTTTGTAGAAAAACACCTGAACTATAACTGCTACTGTCAACACCTTCAACATCATGTAGTCAATTTTATTTTACATTTAAAATTGGCACATACCCTTTATTTGTTTGACTATTGAATTTGATTGTAAGGATTGAAAATTACAAGTAATTGTAAATATAAAACCATACATAATTTTTGGTGGAAAGGAATTTGAGAACAAAAAAAGTGTTGTAAAATTTACACAATGTGCACTATTCATAGAAAGTTTTTGACATTTTCCTTCAAGGATTTAAAAATCTAAGACTCAAACAAGGTAAAAATTTATCACAAGAGTCAGAGAGGAAAAAAACTGTTTTATATTTCACAAGCAGAAGTACTTGTAGTTTGGGGGTATGTTTGTTCTCAAGGTCATCAGTAATCTGTACTGTAAACAAGTGGACAGTGACCAGAAATTAACACTGATAGATAGATTGGTATCTACATACAGCACATGATACAGACTTAGGGTCTCTATAGTGCACCAAAGCTGGCTTAAGCAGTGAATGGCCTTGTGGCCATATCTTGGTATGCTGTAATAAGCTGACATAAGTGGCCATAATATTGACAGTCTTGAATGATTGATAAGTTGTAGCCACTATGAATTTAGCTCCATTGATTGATGTTTGTGGGGTTCCGAACAAAACCACCATTTCCTTTTCTAATTGGATGGTTAGAGTATCCTAATTAATCATTGTAACTGGCAAGGGTGTATAATTGAATTTTATTTTGAAATTAAAAAGTGGAAAAGATATTAAAGTTATTAATAAAGGAGTGAACACTGAACAGTATCATAAGCATTTAGTTTTAATTTAGAATATAAACATCTACATCTTTAGAAACGACAAAAAGTTATAAAATGTCTATTTGAATTGCTTGACTGGATATTTCAGTTATTTTTCTTTCCAATTGTGGCTAAGGCTTGCCTTTTTACAAGTATGTATATAATCTGTATCAATATTTGAAGATTTCTTTAAAGAGAACAGTGTTCTTGTGTCAGGCATTAAATGGTTTTTAGTCTTCTTTTTCTGTCAAGTGTTAGGATTACTAAGTAGGTAGCCACATAATAACAGGTTATGTATCCAAATCTTATTGCGTGGTACAATCCACCAGCAAACAGATTCAATCTTAATCCATCTTAACCTTCTACATTAAATGCTACCCCAAAAGGAAATGTAAATACTGTCCAGAGAATTCAATAGGGGAGGTAACTTGTCTTGCTGGAGGCCACTGATATCTTAGAAAAGACGTGTCATCACTCATCACAATAGGTGGGAAATAAGTTTTACACAAGATATAATTGAATAATTCAAATACCGTTCATTGGATAGTACCCCAATTCATTGCCTGAAAGGTAGAAAAGAATGAAAAAGACTGTAATTTGTTGGTTTAAAATTGATGATGGACTTGTTATGTTACAAAAACAACAAGCAAATTACATGGTGCTACCATCAAGCATGGCAAGACTAAATGCTATGCTGTCATTTCCAGAATGCATTTATGCAGAAATCAATCTCAAAGCCAGCAGGGCATTGCATAAAAATATGAAGGAGAGTGAAGATGTGAACTTTGATGACCTTACATCAAAAACAAATTCATACAAACTTTATGCAGACTAAGAGTAATTTATGGATCACCAAACAGTACCAAGCAAAAACTCACCATCAATGAAATTTAGGAACATTCCACTACAGGCTAATCACATTTTTATCAGTCACAAATGGACATGGGCAAAACTCATAAAAATTTTCAATGTATTCTCCTTGGTTATAGAAATGAGGATAGCAATTGATGTGTATTATCTTTTTCATATCTGAATGTGAAGAGTGATCTTCTCCTCGGACAGCTACCTGCCTTCAGGTGAAATAAATTGACAGCTAGTCCACATGGTCACCAGCCTGTTTTGACCTTTATCTTCCTGCCAATAAAACCCAAAGTCTTTTTCCCATGGTATTACATGTATAAGCACAATGTGTAGTTTAATTCAGGCTAAGTTGTAGAATTTATGTATGTTATGTTAATTGTCTTGCTACTAGAAAATTTCTTCTGGCAACAATTTTATGACCATATATGGACATTTTGATAAATTTTTAGGGTCAGCTAGCTTAGCACCTGTCTCTTTCATGAATAGCAGATGTTGAATGTTTGCTATTAGTTTCCAGTTCAATTCCATCCTAAGAACATCACTAAACATTCTCCTGAAAATTCTTCATTCATCAAAAAACTGAATTTTGCTTGACCTCCAACCTCATTCATGACAAAATAAGTATGGGTTGGGGTTGTTTTGAATTATGATTAAAAATAATTGACTGAAGACTTTTCAAAATACTTTAGTTCAGATTTAACAAAAAAAATAAGGGTGACAGAGTTTGTAGGATAAATGGTTGGAGTATTCCCCAATAACACCTGTGTCAGTTCACTGTTCATAAATTGAAATAATGTTAACCATAATGGACTGTACATAAATCATGTTTACAGTTAATATACCTTATGCCTCAAAACCGTGTGAACAGCATGTGCAGATTTTGAGAGGTACATACACCTGACTTAAGCTCTAGGGTAATTTACAATGTACTTTACTCCAATACTGGATCAATAAACGTAGATTAGCTAGTGTCTCTCTCAAGGGAATGGGTTTTGCATGATGTGTCTACAAATTTGCATTGATCCACACTTTTCTGCAGGTTTATGAATGATTCATAGATCTGTATATATCCTAAGGCCATTAATAACATTTTTTCTGGCAACTGCTTAAAATTAGTTTTGACACATTTATTTATCATTTTAATAGTAAATTAATGTTAAAAACATACCGTATTTACATCCCTATAAGTAGATTTTGGGGTGTTAGATTTTGGACAAAAACTCTATGTCTGACTTGTAGGCTAGTTCTAGTAACATTGGTATTTTTCTCCATGGCTAAAGGTAATACTTTTTCAAACAATTCCAATAATTATCTTATGAAATAGATTTGTAGAAAATAAAGATTAAATATCGGTTGACTTTCCCAAAATATTTATTGAATACAAGTATTAAATACATTTTTAAAAGTATTGATTTGTTGAGAATAAAAGTAGGGATGGGTATCGCTAAATTTTCTTATTGCAATATATCACAATTTTCCCCAAAAATATAACGATAATATTATATTTTTTTGGATGCTAGGATGCCGTTCTTTTACCGTTTTCAACATTTTTTGCACTTCCTGTAATTGTAATTTGAAAGTTTGTACAAATAAATGAATAATTTCTTGAATTTATAATTATGTACTTAAATATCCGTATTTCAGTCTCCAGATCATGATACATATCACACAATTGAAAATCATTACATACCCGTGTATCCAACCCGATAAAAAATCGATGTCATTTCCCAAAATATTACTGAATATATGAAACAAAAATTTAAAATCATATGAGCATTGATCTGATATTGTCATTTCATTCTAGCAAAAAAATAAGAGAGTCAATGGCAAAAACCCTCCAAAATAATCTAAAAATATTATACATTACAAACGGACTTATAAGCAGATCGACTTAAAATTAGGCAAGTATGTGTGGTACACTGATAATTAGGTACACAAGTCACTATATTACAGTGCTTAGATTGAATACTGAAAAATACTTCAGTAACTACATTAGGATGGGTACATTTTATTTTATATTCAAAAATGACTCAACTTTTTGCCCATAGAGAAATGTTATTATTTACGACATGGAACAGGTGACCCAATGATTACGAAACAAATAAGCTTTTTCTTTGTTATTGTAAGCCTATCCTTATTATTGGCATAACCTTAATGGATTATGGATTACAAATATACTTTGCATTATTTCTTTTTTCAGGTAGCATCTAATCTTTTAAAGTTGTAATTAATAAACTACCTAGGTATGTAAAATAACATATGATTGATGTAGATCTCAAATCATGACTGAATAGTTAGGAACCCTATTCGGACTAACCCTATCTGTTTTAATATGATAATTGGGTGATCTGGAATCCCTGGTATTTTGCTTGAATGTTAAATTTGATCTAAACATCATGTAAATAAAAACATATAGGTACACTTTGCTTGCTTATACACTGTGATATTACCATGGAGAACATATAGTAGTTATAATACACACATCAAAACAAAACTCAACAAATATCTGAATTACACTTACCAGAATTTGTACAAGCTGAGTATCATCTGAACATGAATCCAGAAAGAGAAATCAAAATTCTCAGTATGGCAAAATATTAGTGGGGTGAACTGCCAGAGTTGAAAATCAATATTTCCTTATAAAGACAGTCTCAGCACCTGCCCTCTACATGGCAAGATAGATATATATATATATACTTATATAGAGAGGAGAACACCCCAGATCAATACTGTAATATATCGACAAAACTGCTGGAGATCCAGAGTTATGTAGGAGAAGGTCACAGATTTGACGTGGACTAACAGTGGGGGATCAATGAAAGGCTTGGTAAAAAACTAATGAGGCACTTCAGAAAGGTCTCCACTGCTAAATATAGGCATAATGATTGGCTGTTACGGATGTAAGGATAGAATGACAGAGGTGTCATGTTGAATGGTGTGCATGACACTGCACTGTCTTTATCAGAGTACTTATCATAATTCATATCGTTGTTGCGATAAGGTGCACTTTAGGAGACAGGAATTTAAAGAGAATAATTGGTAAATGAAAAAGCAGGCCATGTTGAGTTTCTGCAGCTTAAGAGTGACTAATATTGCACATGCCTTTATATTTGTGTTCAGGGTCGTTATATATGTTTAAGACTCTTAATCCCGAAACAAAACACAGACTGCAGACAAAATACTCCCCTACACAACTTTTGTTAAGGTATTAAAAAACACAATAGTTAACATGGTTATGTATAGATAGAACTGTTACCAAAACTTACCTGTGTTTTATGCTGAATTAGATAACTTTTTCCTCACAATACATTGAATACAATAATATATATTCCCTAAATCAATCATGGAAAAGGCCCGAGACACACACCTTCCTGCCTAGTAACTATAATACAGTCCATTTCCCAGCAAAAGCCAATTGCAGTCAGTGCTAAATCCTTTGTCATTCAAAGACTGTTTGTTAAACTGTTATTTGGAGGAGAATGAATCAGATCAAAAGAATGAATAGCTACTCACTGGCTTTCAACATACTGGAATTTTTTCAAGAGCAATGTCAATTGTAATTTCTGGTGGGTCACTTTACAAGTTCTAGCTGCACAAAAAGTTCCATTTCAACAGAAAATCAGGTCATTAGTGCAACATTAGCCTCCAGCTGGGCCCCAGTGGCTGAATCAACACAGTGACCAGACTAAATTATCAGACACAAGTTACCTACCTAGTGTGAACTTTACTGTCCCCTGTCTAACCAGCCTTTGCCATTAAGTGTTAATTAATGGAACACCCCCATAGTATTTTATTTCTAATTAATGACACAGTCTTCTTTTACTATGGAGAGTGGTAGTGTATAAATAAACACGTAGCTATTTTATATGGATTTAAACTTTCTTTTCAAGAACACGATCTTGAAATCTCTGGTTGAAATTTACAGATTGAAAGAGCCTTAAATTGATCCAGACGTTTGTAATTATTAAATCTAAATAGAGCAAATTGCATTGGCCCATTTTGTTAAAATTGTTTATATGTTAGAACATCAGGGGGTCACTTTAAGAAGTCATCAAATTTAAAGTATATCACTTTCAGTCCATATAATATTGGCCCCATTTCATTCTTCTAGGCCCTAAGTGGCATTGATTTTGACCAAACCCAGTACATACTGTTAATGTGATGGTCATGTAATATATCAGTGCACAATTCTCAGTCAATGGAGTGTTTGCTTAATGATAGGTCTGTCCACTAATGTGTATTCAAATCCCATTAAATATGGATATAAGAACATTGGTCAATATTGATATCAACTGTTTCCAACAGAACTGATGAAAAAATGCGGAATTTTGGGTATCAGCGTAAGTTCACAGAAAAATATCGTGGTTGATAAGGAAGTATTGCATTATGACATTGCATGTAATTTATCAAAAATCACTGTATTATTTTAAATGCAAGAAGTTGAGTATTAATATGTAACTTCTTTGGGTTATTTAGATATTTAAAAAAAATAGTTTAGCTAAATTTAAGGCCTTCAGTTGTTTTGCAGAGTGTAAAAATATTTTCACACCTGGACAAGAAAATCCTAAAACACTCAAATTCCAAGCTATTTCAGGCCACTGTTCAATTGAATGCTGTTATTGTGAAGATATTGACTAAGTAAACTTGGATCGTTTAGTAATAGCAAAACCTACCATCCTCACTATAGAATTTTAATGTTTGATGTTGGTTCTGTGTACCATTTGGCAGTTCAGATGTTTAGATTGGAAATGGCTAAAGTGGTGAAGAAATTCTCTGCTTTTAGTGACTGCGGAAAAAATTGACCAATGCTTAATATTCATTCAACGGTGATTGAAAAATCGTGCTTGAAATATAAACCTTCAAAATGACACAAAGGGAGAGGGAGGGAGATAATATTTGAATTTGAATAAAATGCTCAATGAATGAAGCTTCTATCATGTCCAGTAGATAAATTCCCAGCTGAAGAGAGGTGCTTTCTAGATGGTCCTGATAAATACAGATTGTTGCATTGATACTAAACCCTGATCCCAGACTGACAAACCCGTCAGATCCTGGTCAGTGTTGTGTGAGAATCTATCTAACCACAAATGACACCTGAACTATTGACTGTTTTGTCGTAATCTTTTGATGTTTGCGGTGATAACAGACAGTGAATAATAAGTTTATACATACCAGTGTCTCTGGTTCCCTCCAATAGAAGATATGTTAAATGACACACCAGCAAGTCCGTGAACTGTCATCGACTAGCGTTTGTGGATTTTTAGGCTTATCTAATCATTATGTCTTCTTTCTCCTACAAATTCCAAAACCAAACAATTGACAGATATTTAAATCATTATTTTCCATTTATCATGTAACAAGTCAGTGAGATACCAGACACGTTGTATGTGTTGGTATTTTGGCCTGTGACTTGAGGGATAATGGTTAGCTTTTTTTCTGTTCAGTGTAAAATGTATTGCCGCAGTGCTGAGACAAATAGCTTTATTGATCTTAGCATAAGACAGCTAGGAAATGATCATGTGACCAAATGAATGTAGGCAACAGACACACACCAAATCCGACTTTATAAGGAATGACAGCTAGAAAGACATATTGCATTATACTGGTGACAGTGTCCTCAAATGTGTATTCATAATTTCATATGCTAAATAAATACTACTTTCTCTGGGAGAACCTGGGCTACCAGGAAATATATTACCTGAGTGTGTAATTTAAGACATTTGCAAAACTACAATAAAATATTTTTAAATTGCATATCGTATACAACCTGTCATTATTATCGTGACACTCAAACTGAATTAATGTATAAATTTAAAAGATAAAATTAAGTAAATTAAAGAAAGACATTAAATTTTATGAGATCAAATCAGTTACTAATAAGTTCTTGGTCCTATTAGATTTTTAAATTTTATTTATTTAATTATTTTAATTTCACTAGGATATAACATCAAAGTGGAATTTTAAATGTTAAAAATTTAACCAAATGTTAATTTAAGAATTTTAAAGATGGAATTCACATATTTCTGACCAACACATTTCCACATAAAATTCCACTCCATAATTGCAGCCCATTACTGGAAATCAAGACATAAACAAATATTTGCCAACAGCAGGAGCTAATGTGGAGCCCATTGAACACTGTAAAACCATTAATACTTTTATGATATTTAATTTGTAATCCATCTAACTATAATGGCCTCAGAGGTGAACTTTTCATGCCACACACTTTTACACTAATCATTATAAAATTCAAATCAATGTTGTAAAACTGTGATTTATTATGAAGCCAAATCTGACATTTTAAGATTCGATTGGTCAGAGCAATACATGGATCAGCTATGACAGCCAATGTAATTTGCTTTATCATCTCACAATTGGCAGTTTGTAGAATAAGAGAATTTTATGTTATCTCTTGAGCCAGAAATCTTAATGACTTGACAAGGATTATAATAGAGAGGTCCATGTTAATCTTGCTCCCTGATATAAAAATGTCAATCTTATCTTGGAGTTGAATTGGAGTGGAATTTTTTTTTTAAATACATGCACTGACAAGTGCAGCACATTGCAATTATATAAATAAAGCATGGTAGTATTGTCTTACATGCATATAATGATATATCACATCTGAAAAAAAAATGAGTTCAGTGGATTCAGCTCAAACTGTGATTAAAGGGAGATAACTCTTATTTTACCTCTGATTAACTTTGCAGACACTAGCTGTTCTGAACCCATTCAAGGCAGCTGAACATGACATGATGCAGGACACTGATTTAGCAGGACCCCTAGTATTCTGTCTGGCCTTTGGTGGATCACTGATGCTGGTACATTTCCAAGTTTAATTGTTTTCTTACATCATTGTATAATTGTATTTTGATTAACAGTTGCACAAATTGCATCATCCTTGCACATTGATCATTTCATCTTCAGATCAATTGTAGATTTAATTAAACTTGATGACATCACCAAATAAATTACTTCTTTGATTAAAATAACATTTGTTTTCTCTGTATATGTTACAAAAATTATTTGTATGTCTAAGAGATGTGTTACATAACACGATATGGTTCTAATGCACTCAGCATATGCAGTTATTTCTTTGTTGATAGTATGTTTAATTCATTTATCTGTTGACAGTATGTTTAGTTTATTTCTCTGTTGATAGTGTGGGAAACTGCAGTTTGGATATATCTATGGCATTGGAGTGGTGGGCTGTGTCGCCATGTATTTCCTGCTGAACATGATGAGTATCACGGGCGTATCAGTGGGCTGTATCATCAGTGTACTGGGCTACTGTCTTCTACCAATGGTCATTCTGTCCTTCTCAGCAGTACTACTCTCCCTCAAGTAAGTATCAGGAAACAGGTATCCACTAATAGTATAAATATTAGGCTTACATCAGTATGCAAGAGTCTTAAATAATGAATACATCAAAGTGTACCTAAGTCAAAATTTCATGGACTTAAAAAAAAACAACTGTTGTATGTTACTCATAATCTTTAAAAAGTCAGAGTATTTCAATTTTTGTTTATTGGAAGTGATATAGATACTCATGGGTTATACTACAGTGTATAAATGACTTTTGTACTTCTACAGGGGGATGGTGGGTATTGTACTGACTGTGTTGACCGTGCTATGGTGCAGTTTCTCGTCCTCTAAGCTTTTTGTGTCCGCCCTATCTATGGAGAATCAGCAACCTCTTGTGGCTTACCCCTGTGGACTTGTTTATGGAGTTTTTGCATTATTGACTGTGTTCTGATGGACTGATCATTTTACAGTTGTAAATTGTTGGAAAAACTGTCTTGATTCACCTGGTGTATGTGTACATTTTTAGGTCACCTGAGTCACTCAGGTGACCTATTGCTATCTGTTTTCGTCCGTCGTCGTCCGTTGTGCGTCGTGTGTTAACATTTGAACATTTTCAGCTTCTTCTCTGAAACCGCTGAACCAATTTCAGCTAATTTTTGCATATGGCATCTATGTGTGAAGAGGAACAAAATTTGTGAATTTCATGGTCCCTGCCCCCCTGGGGCCTGAGGGGTGGGGCTAAAACCATCAAAATTAATGCAATCTTTAAAAATCTTCTTCTTTACTCCTGGACATCAAGCAGTCAAACTGTTGACATGATTGTAATAAGCATTGAGCCCTCTACCAAAATTGTGAAATTCATGGCCCCAGGGTCAGGGGTTCTGGTGCTAGGGTGGGGCTATATAGATCATATAATGAAAGTGCATTATTTCTTTGAAAATCTTCTTCTCTACTCCTGGGTATTATTGAAACAAATTGAATACATAGTTATGATAAGCAAGGGTGACTCTACCAAAATTGTGAAATTCATGGCCCCAGGGTCAGGGGTTCTGGTGCTAGGGTGGGGCTATATAGATCGTATAGTGAATGTGCATTATTTCTTTGAAAATCTTCTTCTCTACTCCTGGGTATTATTTAAACAAATTAGATACAGAGTTATGATCAGCAAGGGTGACTCTACCAAAATTGTGAAATTCATGGCCCCAGGGTCAAGGGTTCTGGTGCTGGGGGGTGGGGGGGTATATAGATCATATAGTGAAAGTGCATTATTTCTTTAAAAATCTTCTTCTCTACTCCTTGGTATTATTGAAACAAATTAAATACAAAGTTATGATAAGCAAGAGTGACTCTACCAAAATTGTGAAATTCATAGCCCCAGGGTAAGGGGTTCTGGTGCTGGGGGGGGGGGGGGGGGCTATATAAATCATATAGTGAAAGTGCATTATTTCTTTGAAAATCTTCTTCTCTACTCCTGGGTATTATTTAAACAAATTAAATACATAGTTATGATAAGCAAGAGTAACTCTACCAAAATTGTGAATTTCATGGCCCCTGGGTCAGGGGTTCTGATGTTAGGGCAGGGCTCTATTTATTATATAGTGAAAATGCATTAATGCTTTAAAAATCTTCTTCTCTGCTTCTGGGTATTATTTAAACAAACTAAGTACATTATTATGATAAGCAAGAACACCTCTTCCAAAATTGTGAAATTCATGGCCCCAGGGACAGGGGTTCTTGTGCTAGGGTGGGGCTATATAGCTCCTACAGTGAAGGTGAATTATTTCTTTGAAAATCTTCTTCTCTGCCCCTGGGTACTATTTAAACAAACTAAGTACATTGTTATGATATGCAAGGATGCCTCTTCTAAAATTGTGAATTTCATGGCCCCAGGGTCAAGGATCCTTGTCAAAAGGGGGGGGGGGGGCTCTATTGATTATATAGTGAAAAATCAAAATTTCTTTGAAAATATTCTTTTCTGCTTCTGGTTAAAAAGCAAAGAAGCTAAGTATATAGTTATGATGAGCAAGAGTGCTTCTTCCAGAGTAGTGAATTGCATGACCCCTGGGTCAGATGTTCTGGTATAAGGGTGGGGCTGTTGATAATGTAGTGAAAATGCATTAATTCTATTAAATGATCCTGTCTGCTCCTTAATGTTAAGCAGTTAAACAAAGTGATTACTTATGATGAGCAAACTTGAAACTTCTGGTCCCAGGGTGAGAGGCTCTGGTGTTTCTCGGTGGTGGGGGGGGGGGGGGGGGGCTCTATTGATAATATAGTGAATCTGTAGTGAAAATGCATTATTTCTTTAAAAATCTTCTCTGCACTTGGGCATATCAGAGGCAAAAAGTGTAAAAGTTGTAATAAGGAAGGGTATTTTTACCAGATTTTTGAACATCTGGACCATTTGGTCAAGTGTTCTGGTCCTAGCCAGGGCTCAATTAATTTGCATTCTACTGAGAGGAGTTATTCCCCTTTGCCGTTTACTTTTGATAATTAATCATTGTAAATAATGTACATGAAAAATTAATAGAATAAGAGAATTATGCAAGAATTTTTATTGTATAATACAAAAAGTATTTTCATAGTTTTAATGATCATGTGGACTTGTAAGTAATAGATAAATAAAAATGAGACAAAAATAACTTGTCTTATTAAATGTTCATCAAAGACCAAGAGAGGCCAATGTAAGAGATTATAACAAGGAATTAAAATAGTACAAAAGCACTGATAGTTTGGTAATATACTGTATGGTGATAGTGATAATTGGGGAACAGATTAGAACCTCATTTATGAACTGTTAATGAATAGTAGACTAATTATTTTGTTGATCCTGGTCACCCTATTTTTCTTGCTTTTGGGCAACAAAGCTTCACCTTTCATTTCATTTTAATACTCTATGGATCCTCTAAATTGTTGTATTGTACTCAGGTGACCGTTAAGGCCCTTGGGCCTCTTGTTTTCAAAACTAAGAGCATTTGAAAATGTATATAAAAATCTTTCACTACGCTTTAAGCGCATGGACAGAGACAATGATACAATATATTGTTAAACTGAGACAAAAGATGTCAAGTCACATGTATACTTTTTATTTTACATGCTTGCTAGACTTGTGATATAATTCTCCTGTTGTTATTGACAGAGTATTGCAGAGCTTATTTATTTTACAGAGCTGAATGTGAAATGGTTACAACTTTCAGTGTATGTTCAAATTCCTCACATGCTTAACAAAAGCTCATCGTTTGCATAATTATGATTATATTGAAAATAAAGCTTACAAATGTCTTCGTGGTTCAATTACTAGAAAATAAACTGTTGCACTGAAAAAATTAAACACTTCATAAAATATACTGAAAATAGATTTCCTATACCAATTTTTTTTTTTTAACTATTTGACAGTGTCTCTAGTTTATGTATCAAATGCATGATGCACAAAGAGTTCATCAGAGAGATTTCTCCAGCATAATGATTTCTCTTGGTACACCTGAAAACAAAACAAAAAAATAAAACCATCAAGCAGTGTTACTTTTATGCAAGGAAATTAATTCAAATCATGTCTGATGTAGGTAGCTGAGTTCAGTTTTATAGCCATCTTGATATTTTTACTGTATTAGTAACATTACTTACTGGCTTCTATAGTTTTGACAGACTTGTAAGTGAAGTATCCCTCTTTCGCCACAAAATCCTCAAATAGCCCTGTTCCACCTCCCACTCCATAGTAATTGGACTTAGCAGCTACCAATCTGAGTTCTGTTCAGGACATTCAGTCATATTTACATCCAAATACAAATTCCAAACTTATTTTTCAAATGGTCATCAGTTGAAGCAAATTGAATTTGTAGATACTGGAAGGGAAATAACTCATCAAAGAACTATTCAAAAGATGAGAATTTCAAAGTATTGATCATCTGGACATTTTCAGAAGGCATTTTTCTATTATCTGTGCATGATTAATTGATTGGACATGGCCATATGAACTGATTTATTAGTGTACTTAAAAAAAATACAGGTGTAAAACATATTATTTTTCTTTTAGTTGAAATATATATAAAATTCTCTACGCATAAGAATCCTCCTAAAAGCTCACATGGTCAGCTATTGATTTTTTTCTGCGGCCTGTCATAACCAAAAGTGAGTAGAATTGTATTATAATTCAAAGGTTAGTGAGTCTGGTTAACTTATAGTGCACTGACAATAGAGCAACGTATAATTCTGTGAAGGATACATTTTACCATTATCTTTTAGCAGTTGCTGAAATAATCTGTGTAATTTGGTATAATTATCCAAGTTATAAATTGTTTCTGCTGTTAAAATAAAATCAAATCTGAAAGAAAAAATTGAAAATGCATGAAAGGAAACTTACAATGTATTGCAAAAATATTCCTAACAAAGTTAATTTAACTGCAAGATCACGTTAAGACCACCACACAGATGAATATGACTTCTTTTGAAATTTCCTACCTATAATTTCTCTGTTCTAAGGGAAAATATACCTACTTTAAATCCGGATGATTTTCTGCATACTTTTGAAGTCCTCCCCAGTCTCCAGAGAAGAACCTACACTGACAAGAGTCAGTTTTGTTGAGGTCTAAGACGTTTGGAATGGTGAAATATGATATTACTTCTGAATTCTGAAAATTAGATGACACACATCTCTTAACTCATAAATTTTCAGAAAGAAAATCCTTTGTATGAATTCTAATTTAAATCTTATAAATGGTAATATAATATAAAAGCTTTTGTTGTCAGCTTCTAGCCAAATCTTGAGTACGGTACTATAAGAGAACTACAAGGGTAGTGGAATCTTAGATGACAGTACACATACATACTTACATGTATTTAAGTACATTATCAGTTGGGATTTTGATACAATAATGATAATATACCATAGGATTGTATAAATATGTTTGCATCTTTACTTATGTATTTAAAATGAATGCACTACACTCTCTCTCTGTTTCTGCTATTTCCATGTGTGAACATCAATATATTCAAGCAGTACATAAATTGTTTTACTTTTACATGTACACATGTATATTAACAGGATAGACAACTTGTATATATATGCCCAAAACATCATGACAATTTTTTAAAATTATGCTAATTCCCAGTTTTAATAACTTTTAAAGCACACATAGAAAAATAAATTAAATACATGACGTATAAGAAATAGCCACCAAAATTCGGCGAAATCTTGGAAATACAGGGGCATGTGTTGATATTGAAAACATTCCAAAAATACTAAAATAAGGATACAAATAGTGCAAATGACATATATTTCAAATACTGTTTTGATAAAATATTCAAGCATTTTTTCTGGAATGTTTGGCATCTGTCACTACTGAAACCAATTACATGATAAATACTATATACTTGCATAGTCTTGGAAGTGGACTTGTTTTGCACCAAGTTTCATTGCACATATTCCAGGTAAACCTGCTCCGCAACCAAGCTTGAAAAAGATGACAAGGTATTTAATTAAAGGCAATTCATAATCAATAAAAATTTTACAATGACTTACCTATCAGCACAATATTCTTTTTTTAGTTCACCTGAGTCACTCAGGTGACCTATTGCTATCTGTTTTTGTCCGTCGTCGTGCGTAAACTTTTCACATTTTCAAATTCTTCTCAAGAACCACTGGGCCAATTTCCACCAAACTTGCCACAAACTATCCTTGGGTAAAGATGATTCAAGTTAGTTCAAATGAAGGGCCACGCCTTCTTCCAAGGGGAGATAATTAAGAATTAGTGAAAAATAAATGGTATCATTTAAAAATCTTCTCAAGAACCACTGGACCAGGGAGGATAAAACTATGGAAACATCATCAGGTAGTGTAGACTCAAGTTTTTAAAATCATGACTCCCAGGGGTAGGGTGGGGCCACAATGGACGATCAAAGTTTTACATATAGAGATATATAGAAAAAATCTTTAAAAATCTTCTTCTCAAGAACAGCCAAGTCATGATGAGTCATATTTATGTGGAAGCATCCTCAGGTAGTGTAGATTCAAGTTTGTTCAAATCATGACCCCCCAGGGGTAGGGTAGGGCCACAATGGATGATCAAAGTTTTACATGGGAATACATAGGAAAAATCTTCTTCTCCAGAACTACTGGGCCAAGAAAGATGAAATGTGGAAACATCTAGATTCAAGTTTGTTAAAACCATGATCCCCAGGGGTAAGGTGGCCACAATGGACAATGAAAGTTTTACATTGGAATATGTAGGAAAAATCTTGAAAAAATTCTTTTCTCAACAACAGCAAAGCCATGATTGATTATATTTACATAGAACCATCAGGTAGTATAGATTCAAGTTTGTTCAAATCATGCTCTGGGGATAGGGTGTGGCCACAGTGGACGATCAAAGATTTACAAAAGCTTCTTCTATCAGTTTATTTTATACTCTATGGATCTTCTATGGATTGTTGTTTTATACTCAGGTGACTGTTAAGGTCCTTGGGCCTCTTGTTAATTAGAAAAATTAAATATTCATTTAGAGGTTTCAACTTTCCTGTAAGATTCATCAGAAATATATGTATATACATTATGTATACCCCATGTACCACTGATAATTTTCTGGTAAATATTGCACTAATTCGAGTTTGCTAGTTTGTTTGCTTTATGCTTTACTGTGAAATATCACTAATTTTTGTGAGGTTTCATCCTTGCTGTTTTTCATGATGCTTAGAGCTCCATGAATTCCTGTTCTCTATGAAATGTTATTTTTTCAATATAAGACAACTAAACACTTCTTAAACCACAAAATTAAATCCAAAAGAACCAATAATTTTTCCTCGAACCACAAACATTTGACCCCACAAAAATAAGTGATTCTACAGTATTTAGAATATATGTTATATGTCACTTGTATTGGGACACCACCAATGGCCGATGGAAGGATGCATTAGACCTGTTCCTGGCTGTAATGGCCATTGAGCTATGAGTGTTTTTTTATGTGCCAATACCTATTGCAACAAAGAATCTCCATTTATATGGTATCGCCTAAAGGATCGAATGATCTCCAGGTCTTGTTGTAGGATTTGACAATGAAACCTACATTGTATGATACAAGGCTCAGTTCCTTATTCTACATTTTTAGAATGAAGTGTAAAACATTTGATCTAGCCACTGTGCCAGATGACAAAATGCATTAAATAAAAACTTTAAATGTACATCTACTGAAAGCAGAAGAACTTCTTACCTCTATAACCGATTTTTCTTTGAATTCAAAGGCTCCATCAGCAATGAATTCTGCTAGATCACACCCACATTCCCAGACTGTTAAACCACCTTAATTAAAAAACAGAAGTAAAGAATTAATGAAAGGAGTAATGTACATGTACTATTAATATTATATGTGTATGTGATCATTCTGAAACACACAATTTTTTCTCAGGAAATCCTCCCCACTCCTACACCTTATCTTGTCATAGGAATTTTAATAGATCAACAATTGCTTTACCTTCATAAACATCTGGGACTAAGTCTGTGTGCGAGGCTGCTGCTGTTTTGACAATTGATTTGTCTGAGTTTTTGTTTACTATCCATTTCTCTATCTCTTCACTTTTGTAGCAGTTGATATAAACTTTATTAAAATTATAGGAATTTCTTTGAAACCTTGCATATACGTTATCCTGCAAGAGAAAAGAAGAATTTAATTTGGGTGTGCTCTGCAAAAGTCCCCTAAAATTTAATGTATGAGTTGGGTGTTAAAATATCTTTAAAGATTATTATTATCAAAAGGAAAACATATGTGCATGCGTGATACCTGTATTCCATGAAGAGTAAAAATGGATCATAAATGCATATGTTGATAATGGAGTGAATGCATGGGCAATGAATGTGTAACAAACAGGAAAGTATGGAATGTATGGCTGGACTGGGAATCAAACCCAGGACCCCTGCATCACTAGTCATGCAGGTGCCCTACTGACTGAGCTACCCAGGCCGATATCCACTGCCCAAACCATTACAAATGTATAGTTGGTAATCATCCAAAGTCCTTATGTACATATAAACAGTTTTTAAATTCAAAATCTATACTATCACTTGCCAATTTTTCTTGGGATAACTCTTGAAACTGTTCAAAACTGTGTGCACTTGTCTGACTTTCTGCTGGAGCATCACATTCTGGAAAAAGAAAACTTGATGGTCACATATCAAACTAAAATCTGCCCCTATGGAAAATTAGCAGGGCTACCAATTTAATTATAAAAGCCACTAGTCCTTTGGATTACTGAATCGTTGTAGATAAAATGTTGTTGTTTTTTTTTTAAGTGTCAAACCAGGGACCTATATACTAGTATATAGGTCCCTGGTCAAACCAACACTCTCTTATTTTAAAGACGATAAGTAAGTTTGGTCTTTCCTACATACTTGTACCTATATCAACTTCCGTCTCCTTTTCCTGAGGATCAGAAAAATTAAATTTAAACTCCATTAGTCATTTATTAATCAGTAAATCATGACCAAACCATGCTGGGAAATTTATAAACAAACCCACGTGTTTAGAGATTATCTTTATTTCTCACACGATTGTGGATTGGCTCTTTCCGGTAAAAAAGAACCAATGAAATTCTTCATAAGAATTCAAAACTTTTTCTGGTGGCCTCATCATTACACGAACCAGTTTCAGTTCAACATGCTGAGGTGCGAAGAGAAAAGAGTGGCTGATGTGGAATTTTCTGACCAAATATTCTGCCACGATGCAGTTAAATGGAGCGAGGATAATAGAGTTTCGCTGTGCACGGAGAGAGGCATAATAATAATGGTAAAAAATGTTATTCATCATCAATTTAAGCCTGATAATCGCAAAACCGCTTAACGCGCTTATCAGCAGATCTTTTAGTTTTAATGTTAAAGATTTTCGTAAAGTCTTTTTCTATATTTTTTTATGCAATTTTTTCTTGGAACATTCTTCACAGGAACAGATGCATTCTCTTGCATAATTAATAGAATCTTTGACATCCTCTGTGTCAAGTAATAATAAATCATTAAAGCACTTTGAGAAAGACATTAGGCCACCACAAGGGCATCTTATCCGCTCTGTTCTCTACTACACATATAAAGAATCGAAAGTAGGACACGATTTGTAAACAAAGTCAAAAAACGACTTACTTGAGAAAAGCATCGATATAGAATATAGATAAATAAATATATATAATTTTAATTTTTTTTTAAAAACATAAGATTTTTTAAACTGTCTTAAAATCTAAATCATTATCTACCATACTATTAAGATCTGTAACTATAATTAGTTATTTTTATATGAAAAATGTTAAAATTCTTTGTGTTTATCTGGTATTATTGAAAGCATTTTATGAATATATTTTATTTGTAATATTTTTAGGAAATGAAACATTCACCTCTGCAGCTGGATAAGAATTTTCACTACAATTTCTCACTGATTCCAATCCCAGAAAAATCCAACAATGTTACAAAACTTCCTATCAAAGTGTTTGTATCCTGGAAAGAATCAAGAAGTATCTTTTCAGAAGGTGCAGTATGTTTCTTCAAACAATTCTCTGTTCATTTCATTAAGCACCTTTCTCATTGACATGAAGTATCACATAAATTGTATTTCATTAATTACATAAATTTACCAGTAATTTTGTAGTTGAAAATATCTTTCTAAATGTATGCATAAATAGGTGTCTTATTGCAAACTGTACTTTTTATGCAGCTTATAGTTCCTCATCATCGGCCAATACTGTAAACCAACTTTTATTCACGCGCGAGAAAAATTTCTGCTTAAGCAATTTTATTGCAATAATCAAAATATGATGTGAGAGGACAAATGTTAACTGATCATGCTGATATTAGACAACTATTTCTTATGAATCAATGTTTGAATTTCTTTTATGTATACATGTATATATATTTTTAAAGATGAAAAGCAGGAATTATTCCTTAACCACCCATTGCATCCCTACCAGAAGGGCCAAGTTAACCATGGTTATGTGAGAGCTAAGTGGTCACCTGAAGGGGCAGATACCCTGGGGAGGTAAGCATTATACTGGAATCTGATCAAGATTGGTACTCTTATTTATTTTGGTTATATACCTGTCAAAAAAAATTGTAGATGTGCACTAGCAGCAGTAACGGGGGACCACAGATTAGGTATATATGTTACAGGGAATGATAGAAAGAGGTGGAAAGAGGTAAGATTTATTTGTGATCTGTCAAGTTTGAGGTTAAAGGTGATTTTATAGCTATTTTGAAATTGGCATTAGCGTCAGTATACCGGTTAAAGTTTTAGGAACAAGTCCATGTAAATATGAGCCCTACCTGGACCAAACTTGCAAGGATGATGCATCTAGGGATGGACACTACCACACTTGCTTTGGATGCTGGATCTGACCTAGATTTTCCAGATGAGTGAACAGGTTTAAAGTTTTGGAGGAGATCCATTCCCAAGTAACTATAAGCCCTACCTGGACCAAACTTGCATGTATGGTGCATCTAGGGATGGACACTACTACTTCACTTGCTTCGGATGCTGGATCTAACCTTGATTTTCCAGATGAGTGACAGGGTTAAAGTTTCTGGAGCAGGTTTGTTCCCAGGTAACTATAAGCCTTGCATGGACCAAACTTGCATGGAAGATGCACCTAGGGATGGACACTACCACACTTCTTTCGAATGGTGAATTTGACCAAGATTTTCCACATGAGTGAACAGGTTAAAGTTTTTGGATCAGTACCATTCCGAAGTAACTATAAGCCCTACCTGGACCAAACTTGCGCGGATGATGCATCTAGGGGTGTACACTAACCAACCAGCTTTAGATGCTGGTTCTGAGGTAGATTTTCCACATGAGTGAATTTTAGCCATATTTTAACCAAATTTGCATGGAGGATGTATCTAGGGATGGACACTTCCATACTTGCTTTGGATTCTGCATTTTAAATCTATAAGACAACTTTTTTTAAATTTATAAATACAATTTTATTTCACAAAGAAAATTTAAATATAAGGAATCACAGTCTAGTTTGTTGGGTATGCTAGGGACATCAATGATAGTTGGAAACGTGGGATAATTTATGCATAATGAGCTTTGCTCGTTATGCAACTTATCCCACGTTTCCAACTATCGTTGATGGCCTGGCGTACCCAACAAACCTGACAGTGATTCATTAAGTAAAATTTCAGTTTGCATTGGTTTACTTTGCTTTAATTGTCATGTGACTGCAATTAAATTACATTAATTTACTGAGAATGAAATATTTATTCCACATGTTTGTGAAGAGGGCATAAAGTTAAAATGCATTCAAAAACTTTGGTAAATAAAGAATTTTGCTTTTATCTAGGTAGTTGATCTGCACACCATTTTGTTTGAAAGATTTAAAGACAAGATATCAAAGAATATGACCTTTAATGAATTCAAAGAAGTCAGCTACAACATGTTTGCTGTTGGTTAGTAAATATACAGTATATCTGTACTGATTTGTGAAAAATTGTTCTTCACATTGTTAACATGGTCAAGAGGTTTTGTGATTACATTCCAAATCTAAACCTGTAGAAAAAAAATGTCATAATTCAAATGTAGATAGCCAACAGATTTGTTCAAAGTCCTTAGTAATGAACCAAGCAGGATACAATTTTCTGATGAATCCACATGTCTTATTTACTGGTATATTCTGAAGTCTTTAATTTCAGTGGATAGGTAAGTCTGTGAGAAATGGATCATTCAATGTTTATTTTGAGCCCAATATTATGGTAATAAAGACAAAAAATTACCTAATTGTATCTTGTGAGATTAGTATTCACTGGATAAGAACTTCCTTCATCAAATTGTTTCAGGTATGAAATCACAAATTCTCTATATATGAAGATGGGAAGAATATTAAAAAATAGATATTTTTTGCTCTTTTTATTCAACATTTTAAGAGCTACAGGTAACTCTTGATGGCTCGAATTTCGATCTCTCCAAGTTCTTGATCGCTCGAAGTGAGTCTCCGGTCCCGAATTTTTCCGCTATATAACTAAGCAAATTTACTCTTGATTTCTCGAACTCTTGATCTCTCGAAATCCTTGATCCCCCGAAATCAAATTGCAGTCCCGCTATGCATATTCTATTAGAATTTACCCTCGATACCTCGAAGTGGCTATGTGTATACAAGGTTATATAATTAGCACCTTTACCTGGACATTTAAATGGCCCCAGGCAGAAGACACGAGGAACTGGATGCTTATTCAGGTGACACTTATGCTGCAAGGTGACAATAGATTTATAATTAATCATATTTTGCCTATATGCTATTAAAATAATTATCATCGACTGTCTTATGGTAATTTAGAGACGCAGTGTCAGTGAAAAGTAGTAACTGATTAAAAGACGAAACACTAATTTAATTTTTATTTTGAGTCAGTGTCAAAGTTAAACGAAATATGAAAAAGCAGAAACAGCCTCAATGTCAATATGACGACTATTATTGGACAAATACTTACAGAACTGCATTCAATGATCATGTTTGGAATAGTCAATGCTATGTATCTATACATGTATGACGCGGTAAAATGTCGTTTTCATGTTTCGAATGCTTAGTATGATGTCCGTATTACAAAGAATAAATAAATATACATGAAATGACGATATACATTTTTTACTTTACTCAGTTTATTGAAATATTCATCTAAATTACGAGAAAATACCGTTTGTTTTATAAAAACCACATACAAAAGGTTAGCACGGCATGAAAATTTTTACATCCGGTAAGACTAATTTTAAAACCTGTCAACAAACCCGGAAAATTCCAGACTCTTGAAAACTTGAACTCTTGATCTCTCGAAGTTTTTCCTCAGTCCCGCGGACTTCGAGGTATCGAGAGTTACCTGTATATCTGAAGGGAATAAGTTAACTTTTTATTAGGTCACCGAGTCACTCAGGTGACCTATTGCTATCTGTTCTCGTCCGTCGGCGTGCGGTGTGCGTCGTGTGTTAACATTTGAACATTTTTAGCTTCTTCTCTGAAACCGCTTAACCAATTTCAACCAAATTTGGCATATAGCATCTATGGGTGAAGGGGAACAAAAATGGTGAATTTCATGGTCCCTGCCCCCCTGGGACCTGAGGGGTGGGGCTAAAACCACTGAAAATAATGCAATCTTTAAAAATCTTCTTCTTTACTCCAGGACATCAAGCAGTCAAACTGTTGGCATCATAGTAATAAGCATTGAGCCCTCTACCAAAATTGTGAAATTCATGGCCCCAGGGTCAGGGGTTCTGGTGCTAGGGTGGGGCTATATAGAACATATAGTGAAAGTGCATTATTTCTTTGAAAATCTTCTTCTCTGCTCCTGGGTATTAAATAAACTAAATAAGTACATAGTTATGAAGAGCAAGAGTGCCTCATCCAAAATTGTGAATTTCATGGCCCCAGGGTCAGGGGTTCTGGTGTTAGGGCGGGGCTCTATTGATTATGTAGTGAAAATGCATGAATTCTTTGAAAATCTTCTTCTCTGCTCCTGGGTATTAAATAAAGTAACTAAGTACATAGTTATGATGAGCAAGAGTGCCTCTTCCGAAATTGTGAATTTCATGGCCTCAGGGTCAGGGGTTCTGGTGTTAGGGCGGGGCTCTATTGATTATATAGTGAAAATGCAGTAATTCTATGAAAATCCTTTTCTGTGCTCCTGGGTATTAAATAAAGTAACTAAGTACATAGTTATGATGAGCAAGAGTGCCTCTTCCAAAATTGTGAATTTCATGGCCCCAGGGTCAGGGGTTCTGGTGTTGGGGGGGGGGGGGGGGCTCTATTGATTGTATAGTAGAATTGCAGTAATTCTATGAAAATCCTTTTCTGTGCTCCTGGTTATTAAATAAAGTAACTAAGTACATAGTTATGAAGAGCAAGAGTATTTCTCCCAAAATTGTGAATTTCATGGCCCCAGGGTCAGGGGTTTTGGTGTTAGGGCGGGGCTCTATTGATTATGTAGTGAAAATGCATGAATTCTTTGAAAATCTTCTTCTCTGCTAACTAAGTACATAGTTATGATGAGCAAGAGTGCCTCTTCCGAAATTGTGAATTTCATGGCCTCAGGGTCAGGGGTTCTGGTGTTAGGGCGGGGCTCTATTGATTATATAGTGAAAATGCAGTAATTCTATGAAGATCCTTTTCTGTGCTCCTGGGTATTAAATAAAGTAACTAAGTACATAGTTATGATGAGCAAGAGTGCCTCTTCCAAAATTGTGAATTTCATGGCCCCAGGGTCAGGGGTTCTGGTGTTAGGGGGGGGGGGGCTCTATTGATTGTATAGTAGAATTGCAGTAATTCTATGAAAATCCTTTTCTGTGCTCCTGGTTATTAAATAAAGTAACTAAGTACATAGTTATGAAGAGCAAGAGTACTTCTTCCAAAATTGTGAAATTCATGGCCCCAGGGTCAGGGATTCTGGTGTTAGGGGGGGGCTCTATTGATTATATAGTGAAAATGCATTAATTCTTAGAAAATCTTTTCTGCTCCTGGGTATTAAATAAAATAACTAAGTACATAGTTATGATGAGCAAGAGTGCCTCTTCCAAAATTGTGAATTTCATGGCCCCAGGGTCAGGGGTTCTGGTGTTAGAGTGGGGGGGGGGGGGGGGGGGGTGGGGGCTCTATTGATTATATAGGGAAAGGGCATGAATTCTTTCAAAATCTTCTTCTCTGCTCCTGGGTATTTTTCAAACAAAGGAAGTGCATGGTTATGATAAGGAAGAATGCCTCTTCCAAAATTGTGAAATTCATGGCCCCAGGGTCAGGGGTTCGGGGGGGGGGGGGGAGCTCTATTGATTACATTTATATAGTGAAAATGCTTAATTTCTTTCAAAATTTTTTATCTACTCCTGGTTATAAACTAAAGAAACAAGTGTATAGTTATGATGAGAAAGGGTGCTTCTTCCAGAATTGTGAGTTTGTGGCCAATGGGTCAGATGTTCTGGTGTAAGGATGGGGCTTTATTTATTTAATAATATGGTGAAAATGCATTTCTTTGAAAATTGTCTATGCTTCTTTGGATGTTCAAGACAAACAGAGTAAAAGTTTTAATATGCAAGGGTATTTTTACCAGAATTTTGAACACCTGGACCATTTAGTCAAGTTTTCTGGTCCTGGCCAGGGCTCTATTAACTTGTATTCTACTGAGCAAAGTTATTCCCCTTCATTCACCTTTGATAATTAATCAATTTACATAATGTATTTGAAAGCTTAATAGAATAAGAGAATTATGCAAGAAAATTTATTGTATAATAAAAAAAGTACTTTCATAGTTTTAATGACTTGGAAATAATAGATGAATAAAAATGAGACAAAAATAACCTATCTTTTTAAATGTTCTTCAACGGCCAAGAGAGGCCATTGTGAGAAGGAATAATATGGGGTTGAATAATAGACATTTTGTTAATAGTCTGCATGGGAATAGTGATAAATGGGGGGGGGGGGGGGCAGATAGATACTAGACCAATTATTTTGTTGATGCTAATCATACTATTTTCTTGCTGTTGGGCAACAAAGCTTCATTTATCAGTTTATGGATCCTCTAAATTGTTGTATTGTACTCAGGTGACCGTTAAGGCCCTTGGGCCTCTTGTTGGTATTGAGTTCAACAATTTGATAATTAACTTTTTTTCAGATATTGCATGGTCACCTATATGTAATTTTGATGATGTGAAGTATTACATATTAGCAGTTGCTATGAAAAGTGGGGTGATACACCTGATAAAGATAATACCCCCTCTGCTCTCAAAGTAAGTATTCATATTTAGCTCTACTGGTCAGAGACTAGAAGACCTTATGCAATAGTAAAATGTCTGTTGTCTGTCCATCTGTCTGCCTAAGCAATTTTTCAAAAAGCTTCTTCTCCTACAGTTTAAGCCCAATTTCAGTATAACTTGGTACACAAGCCAACTCTTCTAAGATGACTGGGGTTGCCATGGTTACTAAAAATGGGGATTTCTGTGAAATTCTCTCAAAAATCTATTTCTCCTACAGTTTTGATCTGATTCCAGTAAAACTTTTTTACACAAGTAGACTATACTCAGACACATTCATGTAGTTCTGTATATCATTTTTTGATTTCAATCAATGGTGTTGCTTTGTTACTAAAAAATAGAAATTTCAAGAATTTCTTTCAAAGTGCTACTCCTCCTACAGGTGGCCTTTTCAATAAATTTGGTACACAAGTAGACTTCACTAAGATACAAAATTTTATCTATTTTTAGGTCACCTGAGTCACTCAGGTGACCTATTGCTATCTGTTTTCGTCCGTCGTCGTCCGTCGTGCGTCGTGTGTTAACATTTGAACATTTTCAGCTTCTTCTCTGAAAACCGCTGAACCAATTTCAGCCAATTTTTGCATATGGCATCTATGTGTGAAGGGGAACAAAATTTGTGAATTTCATGGTCCCTGCCCCCCCGGGGCCTGAGGGGTGGGGCTAAAACCATCAAAATTAATGCAATCTTTAAAAATCTTCTTCTTTACTCCTGGACATCAAGCAGTCAAACTGTTGACATGATTGTAATAAGCATTGAGCCCTCTACCAAAATTGTGAAATTCATGGCCCCAGGGTCAGGGGTTCTGGTGCTAGGGCGGGGCTATATAGATCATATAGTGCAAGTGCATTATTTCTTTGAAAATCTTCTTCTCTACTCCTGGGTATTATTGAAACAAATTGAATACATAGTTATGATCAGCAAGGGTGACTCTACCAAAATTGTGAAATTCATGGCCCCAGGGTCAGGGGTTCTGGTGCTAGGGTGGGGCTGTATAGATCGTACAGTGAAAGTGCATTATTTCTTTGAAAATCTTCTTCTCTACTCCTAGGTATTATTTAAACAAATTGAATACATAGTTATGATCAGCAAGGGTGACTCTACCAAAATTGTGAAATTCATGGCCCCAGGATCAGGGGATCTGGTGCTGGGGGGGGGGGGGGGGAATATAGATCATATAGTGAAAGTGCATTATTTCTTTAAAAATCTTCTTCTCTACTCCTGGGTATTATTGAAACAAATTAAATACATAGTTATGATAAGCAAGAGTGACTCTACCAAAATTGTGAAATTCATAGCCCCAGGGTAAGGGGTTCTGGTGCTGGGGGGGGGGGCTATATAGATCATATAGTGAAAGTGCATTATTTCTTTGAAAATCTTCTTCTCTACTCCTGGGTATTATTTAAACAAATTAAATACATAGTTATGATAAGCAAGAGTAACTCTACCAAAATTGTGAATTTCATGGCCCCTGGGTCAGGGGTTCTGATGCTAGGGCGGGGCTCTATTTATTATATAGTGAAAATGCATTAATGCTTTAAAAATCTTCTTCTCTGCTTCTGGGCATTATTTAAACAAACTAAGTACATTGTTATGATAAGCAAGGACACCTCTTCCAAAATTGTGAAATTCATGGCCCCAGGGACAGGGGTTCTTGTGCTAGGGTGGGGCTATATAGCTCCTACAGTGAAGGTGAATTATTTCTTTGAAAATCTTCTTCTCTGCCCCTGGGTACTATTTAAACAAACTAAGTACATTGTTATGATATGCAAGGATGCCTCTTCTAAAATTGTGAATTTCATGGCCCCAGGGTCAAGGGTTCTGGTCAAAAGGTGGGGGGGGGGGGCTCTATTGATTATATAGTGAAAAATCAAAATTTCTTTGAAAATATTCTTTTCTACTTCTGGTTAAAAAGCAAAGAAGCTAAGTTTATAGTTATGATGAGCAAGAGTGCTTCTTCCAGAGTAGTGAATTGCATGACCCCTGGGTCAGATGTGCTGGTGTAAGGGTGGGGCTGTTGATAATGTAGTGAAAATGCATTAATTCTATTAAATAATCCTGTCTGCTCCTTAATGTTAAGCATTTAAACAAAGTGATTACTTATGATGAGCAAACTTGAAACTTCTGGTCCCAGGGTGAGAGGCTCTGGTGTTTCTCGGTGGTGAAGGGGGGGGGGGGGGGGGAGAGGGGCTCTATTGATAATATAGTGAATCTGTAGTTAAAATGCATTATTTCTTTAAAAATCTTCTCTGCACTTGGGCAAATCAGAGGCAAAAAGTGTAAAAGTTGTAATAAGGAAGGGTATTTTTACCAGATTTTTGAACATCTGGACCATTTGGTCAAGTGTTCTGGTCCTAGCCAGGGCTCAATTAATTTGCATTCTACTGAGAGGAGTTATTCCCCTTTGCCGTTTACTTTTGATAATTAATCTTTGTAAATAATGTACTTGAAAAATTAATAGAATAAGAGAATTATGCAAGAATTTTTATTGTATAATACAAAAAGTATTTTCATAGTTTTAATGATCATGTGGACTTGTAAGTAATAGATAAATGAAAATGAGACAAAAATAACTTGTCTTATTAAATGTTCATCAAAGACCAAGAGAGGCCAATGTAAGAGATTACAACAAGGAATTAAAATAGTACAAAAGCACTGATAGTTTGTTAATATACTGTATGGTGATAGTGATAAATGGGGAACAGATTAGAACCTAATTTATGAACTGTTAATGAATAGTAGACTAATTATTTTGTTGATCCTGATCACCCTATTTTTCTTGCTTTTGGGCAACAAAGCTTCACCTTTCATTTCATTTTAATACTCTATGGATCCTCTAAATTGTTGTATTGTACTCAGGTGACCGTTAAGGCCCTTGGGCCTCTTGTTGATTTAAACAAATGGTGTTGCCAAGGTATTTAGTTTTGTCCTAAGCCAGTGGACTTAGAAATTGATTCTAAAACCAAGAAATCATTGACAAATACTCTTATTCTCATGTTAGAATCTCATATGAGTCCTTAACTAAAATTAGAAGCTTTCATGAATGCTGGAAAAACAGGAATAAGCAAATCAAGTAGACATTTTAATTAAATGCCATTAATAAATACTGTATATGTTTCTTCCAGAGATGATGTCATCATTGTTAGTGAAACACTGCCATTATCATCCATTCCATCTAGTTTGTGTTGGAGTATAGGAACCACTGAAGAAAATGGTAACAATTTTGATTAAGCTAGGTAATGGGGGCATGTACATGTGTCATGTTTCCAATGATAAATGAAATTTCATTATGCCAGGATGATTTGGTGAATAAATATGTTGACATTTTATTTGGCACTAGAACAATATTCCTCTTCCTTTTTCTCAGGATGTCTGGTTATTGGATACCAGTCTGGTGAAGTGATTAGTCTATCCATTGATAAAAGAAAGCTCACCACAGACTCAAAGACCATTGTACATGGGGATCAGGACCTCATCAGGGTGGACTGTATTGCCTGGAAACTGTTATCACAGGTATCCCCAACATAGTGACACTTGTGTTAAACAACTTCCTTGTGGAAGTGTTGAGAGTAGCCACTTAACATAATTCTGCAAATATTCATGTTAATGGTAACAATACCACCTTGTTTTACTAAAGCTGTAACAGCACATATCTAATAATAGATTTTCCTTGTTTTCCACAACACATTCATACATGTATATATAGTTCACTATAAGCTATCAAAATCTCTACAAAATTCCCCTTTCTTTCTTAAAACATTTTGTACACAAGTTTTTCTAACATACATGCTGCTTATTTGCAATTTCCCTTTTGCTAAGTGAAGCCAAGTATCAAAGAAAAATATGTCTCCAATTTGATTGATTAAATCACAGATTGGACAAAATAGCTTTGAAAACAGTGTTTACATTGCTAGTAAGGATTTGAGTGGCTGCTTGTGGCATTGCTCTAGTGACTCATGAGAGTCCAAAGTAATTTAAGAATAACAAGTATAATATTCACCACTTCATGGTTAGTTTGGTATGTTAAGAATCAATCATCTTTAAAATATTTTCTTTTTTTTTCAGAAATGTGTACTCCTTATAGTATCTAAAGATATCCATGTTTTGTCTTTCCTGATTAATATCAAAACATCAGAAGTGGTAGAGAGAAATTCTTATCTGGGTCAGCATGATTTTACTGTCACTGGTAAGTCAAAACAGGAATGGATGTCATTTATTTTGGGATTTAGAATGTTTAATAGAAGTAATGGAAGTTTAATTCTGTCATTGTAGGATTATTTTCCATAGACAGTTTTTTTGTGATTTCATCACAAGATGGACATTTACAGATTATTCAACCATCTTTGACTGAAGGTATTTTATTGTCATTTTTTAATATTTCAAAGTAGAAGAATTTAATTTTGTAAACATGTTTTAACAATTTTCAGTTTAGAATTCAATATTTTTGATGTTTTATTTTTTAGAAGCTGTTTGTCAGTCATACAATAAGCACAAATGAAAGTATACCATATAAATGTATGAGAAAAAGATTTCTGATAAAGTTCCATCCTCTGACTTTATTATTTTAGCATGCAGTAGCAAACTGACTTACAGTAAAACTTGTAAAGAACTCAGTTATTAGGAAATCTTGTTTATAAGAAATTTGTTAGGAATCCCCAAGGCTACTTCCACTATGTTACTGAATCTCACTTATTAAGAATAAAATTTTTTTAACAATTTACTTACTTACTTATCCTCTCCGTGCCCCAAAGGATGCATGAGGCCTTAAAAATATATAAGCAAGAAAAAGTTCCTGTGACTTCCTTTTTAACTGAGTTTTGCAGCTTTAGAAATATTGCATTTTGTGATTTTCTGTATTGTATACTGGAAATCATTTTATCTTTCTTCTGTGCCATATCATGTTTTATAATTTCCTTATAGATGGAAAGACTGAACTTAAATTTTCTGCACTTACTACAGACTTTGTCAACATAAGGAAAATATTTGGAATAAGTAGTTCGCCAAATGGAATGTTTGCCATCTTACCTACATGGTAAGTACAATAGGAAAAGTGATTCACATTCAAAGTCATACATGTATATACTGATACAAAATCAGCTTCAAACCTTCATCCTTTATAAACTCTTTTGCTTAAATATTAATTCACAGGCCACTGAAAAAATTTGATCTGAAACACATGAAAAGACAACCAATGCATGTAAGTTTAAATGATATGGATATGTTACCAATGATTGGAACGGATGTAATTGGTTTGAATTATTTCTATTGAAAATATAGTACTTTCAGCCTCATCCACCAAAAAAGTTCAATGGAAGCCAAAGAACTAACTGAAAACAAATAATCGGATACATTGTCTTCTGTTTATAGGAAAGGAAATGATAAAATCAAAAAATACTAATGTTGCATACCAGAAACAAAATGAAAACCAAAATATATTAAAAATACTGTTGTTTACAGGTATTCACTTTGTCTGTAAAATCAGAAGAGGAGCAGAGAAAAACTGCAGAACGACTGTTACTAGATGAGACTGGTATTCTTTTTTCCTCTCTCTCTCTCTCTACCTGCTTACTTCTAAACCATTAGAATAAATGTTTTCTTATTTCATGAAAAAGACTTATAAAGTTGATTATTGAAGAAATCCGTTTATAACTATCAGGGTTCTCATTAATGCAAGAATCTGCATCCCAGACACAGCAAAATTATTTGGGATGCAAGGTTCTTAAAAACGATGCGTCCGCGGACTCGTGAGTTGACGCGTCCTCGTCAGCAAGAAAATTCAGGTGCTTTCAAAAACCAGAGATTTCAGATGTTTGGATTTGTCAAAAAAATATTTAATCGAAACCTTCCTATAACTACCATAAAGTTTGTCCTAGAAACAACTTGCTCTATTTCTATTTTTTTTTTTTTTTTTGAAACAGGGATTGATTATAAGATATTTCATGTTTATTAGTCCATAGTCATAATAGTGTCGCATGCCAAACTCTGATAGATGTAAACACAAAGCAGCTTTTTTTTTTAAATCACTTTTGAATCTTGAGTTTTATCTAGAAACCATAATTATTGCTTGTATACACAATGCGGCTTGATTATCTCGTGAATTTCACCCAGTGCAGACGACCGACAGGATTAGTTACGCCTCATTGCACATGACACTTGTGATTGTATACAGTCAACTTTAGGGTACTAATTGATTATGCAATAGTTAATTTTAGCTTTATAAACACCAAGTCTATTTTTATGGCAATTGATTATGCGTGTATTTTAGAATATGGCTTGAATGCATCGCCAGTTTACATATTTGAATATGTTAGTATTTCGTAAACAAACTGTTAAAATAATGAAAGATTTTTTTTTTTGATGTTTGGATGGAAGGATACTGCAATAATTCAGTTGGGACTCAACATAATTTTTCTGGGATGCATCAAATTTAGCTGAGACGCAACCTTGTCAGAAATCTTGAGTCCTGGGACTCAAGTTAGCAAAATCCTAGTGAGAACCCTGAATGATATGTATTGGGAGGAAAAAAAAAACGAAAAGTACAGCTTAGGAAAAATTAGTTCATTCATTCCAGTACCAATGAAGTGCATCCCTGATGTCCTGGAGTATTTCCGACAAAGTCTCTGGTCTGGAATCAATATTATTCCCTCCTTAACCAGCTTTGTGTCCCAGTCACATAAGTGGATCTCTATGCATGTCAAACTTCTACGTGTGTTAAGGTAATATATTGAGATTCTTTAAGGGAGTGCATTTGCAGTATGCAGTATATTAACCTATGCCCAGTTAAAAAATCAAAGCATAAGTTTTTCATGGATAAATGTCTGCAAACAAATTGAAGGAGTAATTGCTTTTTACTAAGCTTTATTGCTGTATAAATTTCATTTTAAAATATTTATTAGAGAAAAATCAGTCATGCAAAAAGAAAGTTTTAGCAGATGCACAATTTGTTGCCCTTGTAAAAGGGGTATTCAACATTGTGTGTTTCCTGTGTCTTTTATATGTTTAGAACTGTAAGGGTAAAATATCACTGATTTTTTTTTTTTCACTGATAAAACTGACATGTCCAAAACGTGATTTTGATCTTTTATTTTAGGTACTTCATAATGACAATACAGCTGCATATCCCAGAAACAACCGATGAAGGAATTCACAAGGCTGCCCTAGCTAAAGGAACTGTATCACAGCTGTCCAAAATCATTCTGATAAAGCATGTGGAAAAGGTGTTTGATGCAGTCCTTCGATCACAACAGAGGCAGTTCACACAAACAGGTGATTTTTCTGCGTATTTTCCCATTAGCCAACATTCAAGAGTTGTGACTCCAGAATTAAAGAGTATCTTTTGGAAGTATTCAAGTCAACAATATCATGACAACAAAAATTTTTTCTGGCAGCATTAGTACAGAGGACCAATCAGTTACATTGAAAAGGTTTCTGTGATCTTGCATAATTTGAATTGAACTTATTTAAATGACAGAGAGACAAAAGAATTTAGATAATCTTCTCCTAAAATTGTATTATTTATGAAATAGAGAACAATGAATTGCAAAGCAAATTTTTGTTCTAATGTAACATCAAAGGATTTTGTTTTCAGAGATAAAGATTTTGAGTGCATTGCTAAAGTGGCAGAATGACCAAGAAGGAAAGGTTCCCATTGTGAACTCTGAACAAATAAGTCACTTGATAGAGATCAAAGATCACCAGGATTGTTTTATCTGTCAGTCATGTATCCTTACTTAATGTGTTCACAGAGGGTCCTCAAACTGATTATCACAGAAATGATGTAATTCTTTTATTCCAAATGAATTTAATGCACATATTAAAAAAAATCTTTATTACATGTATAACCCCTCTAAGTAGTACTAGCCAGTATATGGAAAGGATGAATTAGAGAAGCATTGGAAGCTCATTTCTGGCAAAAATATTTTTAGAGCCTGAGGGTGTATCATGATTTTAATCCAAGGAAATTCTGGCAGGTTCAGGGTAACTGCGTAAAATAAATATCAAATTTATGTGTTTTCTGTACTTTAAAAGAGAAGCACTGGATGCAGCAACTTCATCTTTTTGATAATATTTGTGAGTGATTATGTTTTCCTGACTAGCATCAGCTCTGAATGAAGAAGAATTGACCTGGGTTTGCCAAAATGGCCATGCATTTGGTAACAATTTATAGCGGATTGTGTTACAAAAAAGTTAAAATGTTATGCTTAAAAAAAAAAAGAATGCAATGGTACAGTTCAATTTCAAATGTGATATTGATGATAAGAAGCAACAAACATAATTGTTTTGTGCATAATTACACCTGTAGGTAGAAATTTTTAGTGTTATTTTTACAGGGATGTGTTGTCTAACTTTTTTGCCTTGTTCAACAATGTACAGGACTTGTGTAAATTGCAACAGTTTGGCATCTCCCTATGAAATGCTGAAAGGTAGGAATTGACTAAAAATATAGTGAAAAAAAATTCTCATTAAAAAACAAATAAGGCATTTTTATTTAACAACTCCAAGTCGAACATGAAAATATTGATACATGTATGAAACAATTAAATGATATGTGATTTTTTACAAGGTTGGATGTATACACATCTAGAGATCTCTATTGCAGACATTACTTGGTTGCCATTAAAGGAATGTTCTCTATGTGGGGGAAAGCTACTGTAAAGAGAAGAGGACAGTGCAGTGTTAAATAAGTGTGAAAAAGAAACAGATGCAGGTTCAAGTTCAGCTAAAAAAGAGTCAATATGGGATGTATTTATAGTTGATGAAGCATCAAGTAAGGTTATACATTTTGACTTGCTAGCAGCAATGAGTGTTTTACTCTTGAAACTTACTGTACACAAGTTTCTTGAGGCAGAACAAAGAGTTTGAACTATGGTTAACAAAAAAATAAGGCTGTTCTAAGATTGAAATGTATGAACGCACATATTTAACCAGTAGTTTATAATGGCTGAAGATAAGTAATTATGCTCTCTGTAAGTTTTTGATAAAGGAGTAGGGACTTTTTTAGATATCTCTTGTGTGTCCTGTGAAATATAATTCTCACATCGAGGACTGTACTTTAATATTAGTGGATAAAATATTAGGTTAAAAAAACAAATATTTCATTATTTACATAAAATGTTAGACTTTTTACCTGTATTTTTCCTTTTGTTTGATGTACTACGAGATTTCAAAACCTCTTGGTGAGACATTAGAAAAAGTAACTTCAGACAAGGAAGCAGCAATTAAAATTCTAATTTAATTTGTATTAGATGCTGATGCAGGAATTTTTTTTAAAGATAATTGAAGAATTTATAAAATTTAGTTACATTCCAGATAGAAAACTAAATAGATAAGTGATGTGAAGAAGTTAAGTTGGCAGAGTTATGTACCATCTGAGGGCTTCCTCAAGTTTTACAGAAAAATTTTAAAGATTTTTTTTTTTATTAAATATAAGTTAATTATACTGAGATTACTACATTTCTGAATCTAGTAAATAAAATTTCAAAGAGTAAATATTCAAATTTTTTTGAATATACACTCAATGATAAATGTTAAATATGTTTTTCATGTAATTGATACATGTAATCTTCATTATATTCCATAGACATATATACAGTTAAACTTCATTATCTTGAACAGTGATATCTTTAAAACCTTGGATATGTTGAAGTGGGTTAGAAGTTCCAACCACTTTTCATTATGTATTTCTAACCTCGATATCGAGAATCCTCGCATATCAAATTTTAATATACTATACAGTCAAACCTTGTCATTTCAAACACTATGGTACCAAGAGAAGAACTTTGAGATATCAGAAGATTCAAGATATCCAGGGTAAAATAAATGAAGAATAAGTAGTTGGGACTTCCAAATCACTTTGACATATTCATGGTATTCAAGATATCGGTGTTTGATATACCGAAATTTAACTTTACTTACATTTCCAATTCTTTTCCCTTAAGATTCTTTGTAAGTTAGAAAATAGTTCATTTTTCTCAAAACTTTAGTGCAAACTTTTTTTTGTTTTAAAAATGACAGTTAAATGGCAATAATTTTTTTCAATTCATCAGATGATAATGTTAATATTAGATATAAATTTAATTTTTGAAAATTCATGAGGATCATAAACTACGACACTTCACGCTGGTATATTAATCATGAAGTACTAACATGCTTCATGAAATGTGCCAGCGTGAAACATCTTAGTTCATGTCCTTGTGAATTTTCAAATATTAAATTTATTTCTCAATTGGAGATGAATCTATACATACACATGCACTCTCACACACACAAAGTTTTACATTTTATTAAGATGTAATAGTAGCTTGAATTTTACCGTAATGTATTATATTTTACATTTATTTGGCAGAAATTGATTTTTCAACAAGATAGTAAAGATCTAATTTATTGCATTTCTTATATTTTGTATATATGTGTATGTATATCCATATACATATGACATTAGTGTTGTACCTTAATACAATGTATGTAGCAAAAGTTCTTTCCACCAAAATTGCAAAGTAGAATATGCTTGACCACATGTAATATATTTACAGTATCCTAAAGAAAAAAAAAAGTATGTTTGTTTAGTTTAATATTTTCCAGATTTTCTTAATGTTGTCCTTGATGTCAAGGGAAACAAAATTAGAAAAAAAAAATCTGGTTAGAACTGGTTCACTGTGCATTATTTAACTGATTTATTCATTTCATTCACATAGCTTGCGAGACTTTAAATTAGTCAGTAACATAATTTTATGAATTTAATTATCTTAAATTTGAAGATGCATTATAATGAACAAACAAGTCATGGGTGGTCTAGATACTCAAGTAAGTTATCATACTTTAAGTACAGTCTGGATATATTTATATAATAGTGTTGTGCTTTGCATGTACTATGCCTAAATAGTAGTCAGGGTTTGACACATGGTGTATGAGCCGGAGAAGAGTGCACTATGTGTCAAACCCTGACTACTATTTAGGCATAGTGCATGCAAAGTACAACACTATTGTTATTATTATGCTGACTGTTGTATGAAAAAGACAATTTAAATAGATTTCCTTGACCGTGTGCATGCAGACTTCATTTGAATCTCATTGAAAATTTTTCTGTACATTCTATTATTATGTTCCCCAAATGAAGTTTGGGAACATATTGTTTTTACTCTGTTTCTTATTATTATTTTAATTTTAATTAGGCCATACTTAGTATTGAATACATGTATATGAAAATCTTGCTGAAGTGAGAGAAAGGAACTTCTAAAGTTTTAAGTCTATAAGTTTAACGGGCAAAAATATATTAAAAGCTAATCAGAATATATTTGCAGGTTTGACAAGATACATATTATCCATTAATCCATTTATGAAAAAAATAACACTGATTTTAACTAGGGTGTAGAATCTAAAGGAGGATAAAAAGCATTTGTTAGCCTTTACTTCCTATAAGAAGGGCCAACAAAAAGGACAACAAGGTAATGCCGAAGAAAAGGGTCAGACAAAATCATATCAACACACAGATTCAGATTCCAATATTTGTTTGCATGGGATATAAAAAAAAATCTTATTGCCATTCCTCTTATTACCTCAGCTAATCTTTTCAAGGAATGTCTGAGTTTTAGCGCAAGGGAAGGAAGACTGTATTTTTGACATCCTTTTTCTGTTAGCTCTGAAGGGTTTGAACATATGTTTTTAACTACATCTACTACTCTGTCAAACTCCTGTGGTTTGATGAAATCGGTAAAAACTGCTGACTCTGTTGACAGGCACCTTAAGGACACTAAAAGGCTTCCCATCTGTCGCAACTTTTGCCTGACATTAGGTAGTCTTCCTTTTCCCACTCTTTTCAGCATTGCAGATCCAAGTAATATCAAGCTGTTGTCAGACTGTATTGCCTTCAAGACATCATCAGATTTCATGCCTGTGAATATTTCCTGAATTTCCTCCTGCAAATCTGAATTTTCATGCAAGTTGAAAGCAGAATCTGGGCTGAATAGAGCAAAGGCTTTTCATCTTCATTTTGCTGATTTCAAAAAGGACATTCTTTAGCATGTCTCCAAAGTTCACTTCTTACAAAAAAACCCAAATAATGGGGACAGGGTAGAAACTCATTGGAATCCTTTTTTGTTGTTGGTCGTCTCTCAACGATCAAATGTCCTTTGTTTTCTGTAATTACTTTTACATTATAATGAAAGTCTCCCATATTCCCAAGTTTCTTCCAAAGCAGTTTTCTTTCTTTTGCTCCTTTCTTTTTAGCCAAAATTTCAGCCACTAATTTTTCTCCTGCATGTCTTATTTGCAGGTGAGATGATATCTTGGAGAAAGTGTCACCACAATAGAAACAAGTATGTCGTTTGTCATATACACGCTTTGTTCCCGATTTCACAACAGGTGCAACTGAAACTTGAGGAGCGAAAAAAGGTTATATACATATGCATGCATGAGCTCACATGTCAGTATTCAAACTTTTTATCTATGCAAGAGGCCCATGGGCCTTAAAGTTCACCTGAGCATCCCAACAACTTTCCAACAATTAAATTTGGTTCATGTTTTAAACCAGAGGAGATGACATTCACAATTTTGAAAGAGGCACTATTGCTCATAAAAACTTTACACTTAGCATGTATAGTTTGGTTACTTAATACCCATAGGCAGAGTAGGGGAATAAAAAATGCATTTCAACTAATCAGTAATATTCAGCAATAATCAGTAGTGCCCCTACCACACATGAACCCCTGACCCTAGGTTCACACAATTTATAATTTTGGAAAAGGCACCCTTGCTCATCATAAATGTTTGATTAATATCAAGGAGCAGATTTCAAAGCATTTATTCATTTTAAGGATATAGTTAAAGCCCCCCCCCCCCCCCCCCGCCCCATGGTACCCCTGATCCAGGGGCCTTGAAATTCACAATTCTGGAAGAATGGCCCTTGCTGATCATAACTATGTACAGTAAAACTTGTTTAGTACAAACATGGATATCGCGAACTCACGGAGATAGCGAAGTTATCTTGGATCCCGAGTTATATAGATTTAATGAATTTCTTATACGGATATAACGAATTACGCTATAGCGAAGTAATTTCATAGGTCCCAGTGACTTCGTTATAACCGAGTTTTACTGTGTGTAGTAAGTTTGTTTATTACCCAGGAGCAGAGAAAAGGATTTTCAAAGAATTAATGCATTTTCACATTA